CCACTGTTGGCTAAATGCACATCATAGCTATTAAGTGTCATCGGCATATAGTTTCTCCTGCATCACATTTTTTCGCCAACTTCTCTGAACTGACTACATGGAGGGCAAGTTAATTGTAATTCAAAGGTTTTCATTTTCTTTTCAGCCTCCCTTGGGTGTGTTTCTGTGGTGCATGAACTTTGCCTTGAGTCTGGATCGGGTCAGCAGTCTGAAACATTAATTTCTAACTCTATGTGGATTCTGGCAAATGTATTAAATGGATGTCGGGTGGGAGTTTCATCATCACCGGCTGATAACTGCTCCATCACGCAGAAATCAATAAGTATTTACCTGTAACACTGTAGCAATCACTCTCTGTCCTCCCTGTCGCTTTCTCTGTCTCTTCTTATTCACGAATAAAACACAACAGCAAGTGTGTTGGTCAACAATGAGCATCAATGGCGATAGCGAAGAATTCTCCTTGTGTCAATGTGGGATCGGGAGTAATTTAGTCAATAAAACCAACAGTCTTGGATTATGTGTTGTCTGCGGGTCAATATGCGAATCACACAATACATTACACTGCCGTCCTTAATAGGAAATGGATTTCACTTAAATGCCCCTTCATTCGCGACTTAGACCTCGTGCCAGAGTCATTACGCGTGTGTGAATGTTATAATAGCACACTTTGAAATTAGAATCCTGCTATTTAAGACCTGCTAATAGCACTATTACCATATTGAGTGACGGAGAGGAGCAGCCCAGAATGTATTCGTATTTAATCAGAATACTATATAGTATTGTGGTAGGTATGTGTGTGGTGGAGAATCAAAGCAGTAGATGTATTAAATCTAAACTTTTGTACTACTTTTGTTTATAGGTAAACACTTAGATTGCCTGCATTTGAACATATAAATGTATTTTAATCTGTAGCGCTATTATGCAAAGCTGAGTGACTGAACTACTGAACCGTCGATTTCCTCTCTTGGCCAGAGTTTGGTCCGAAAATGTGTGCATCTATAATGCATCACTCCCCTAATTGCTTTCACTTTACTACCGTGTGTAGCTCCACATATTAGGAATGAGCTTTCTTTAATTTCGAGTTCAGGAAAAGCGGCCGTCGTGTACAAAGTGATTAAAATGAGGACATTATGTTGTTATGGAGGGTAGCTATAACGTGTGATTTATAGAGGGAGAATATTTCTATAGTTTATTGTATCCCCTGAGGGCCGTGCATTGTAAAAAATTCTAAATGAAGCAATAATGGAATCATGAAATAAATGTACATTTTATGGCAACATACTCAAATTAATAGCAGCATAAATAAACCTATTTATATTAATAAGTAGTTCAAATTGCCATATGCTGCATAACATAAACCAAATAAGGACGCACACATGCCAACGCTACAGCTATATTTAAATATTTTAGCGAAAAACTAAGATGACAGCAAATAGAGAAACATATATTCAGTCACAGCCCTGTCTCAAACCAAAACCTGCAACAGCTATATTGTTGTTTTTTTTCCCCTCAACAAAGACCTTAATACTTTGAGATGTCTATGTTTTTTAAGCGTTATTGCAAACATCACCCATCTCCCTAGCAACCTAGAAAACAACTGGAGACCTGTGGTTAGCATTTGCACGGGTGTATTCTCACTCAAACCATGATCTTTTCCTAATCCCAACCAAGCAGTTTGGTAGCATAAACCGAAGCGAACAGCAACTAAAAACAGCAACAGAATACGGTGAGTGAAAACAAAAATAAACAGTGACAGAAATGCAACAAAATGCAGAAACAGCACGGAAAGCAAACACCAGTCTCCTTGGTGAAAGTCCTGTGTTTTGTCAATAGCGCCGCCGTCCTTCTAACCTACAAATATGGAATAATAGGCCACAAAAACATAGCAATCTTACAATTTTACTGTCTTTTTTGAGAAACTAGTATGTTTTGAACTGTGGACCAAAGTAGCTGTTACATATTTTCATATAAGGCTGCGCTGTCAGTCATGTATCACACTGGATACATCTGTAATAGCCAATGGAGTAACGCCCCCCCGCCCAACACAACTTCAAAACGAGAGGTTTGTGTTGGTATCGCAAACAAAAAGTCAGGCCGCACAAATGAGAGAGCTGGCAGCGTAACCAAAAGATAGACAGTGAGAGCGAAAGTCTGATCAGTGAGGAAGAAGAAGAGGGAACTGTAAACAAAAAGACATTTATAGAAGAGCAATAGTTCATGGGAATATAGAAATCATTTCTGTGCAACTTAAAAGTTTTGCTGTTGAGATAACTTTTTTGTGGTGGTGCATGCAGGAAGTTTCATTGTCTCTCAGTTTATTTTTTTGTTGTTGTTGCATTATACTGACACAAATCTGACCCCATATATTTGTTTGTTGAAAGTGTAGAACTATTTGAATCTGTAATACTGTTTGGTAGCTTTAAGTTGTAAAATAATGTTAGGGTATGATCATTTTGAGTTGTAAAAGGCTGATCTTGGGTCTAGGCATAACTAATTATCCAAATGGATAAATGGCAGTGAGTGATTTTAGACACAGTCTTAGATTCTGGGATGTTGTGTAAATCCGGTGTACATGAATAAATAAATTGGGCGAACCCCCTTTAGTATGCCACAGATTAATAACAAGTCATTGAACTTCCTATACTCCACCCCTCAATACTGTGTTTCCCTGGGGGTTTGGGTACTGGGGGGGTTAAGTGCTGATGAGGTTGTACAGTACAACAAGCCTATTAGAAGAGAGTAGTGAGGGGGCAGTGCCCCCAGACTCAATGTCTTTAATATTGCATGTTGGCACCGTGGGTCCTCGCAGCCTCAGTTAGCTTCCAGGCTTCAGTTTGGCTTGGTGCGGCTTTGCGTGTACGACTGTTGGCGTGGGTGTTGAACTTCGTGTTTATGTGCGTGCTTGGACAGCCAGCGCTGTCTGATGTGGCGATGGAGGAGGTGTGCTGTAGGTTTGCTCGGTGTCGCAGGAGAACGTCTTCCCTCACTCTGACACTGCCCCGATCCAAACTGGTAAGACTTGAGATTTAAAGGGTTTCTTCTAGAGCAGAGGGGGGCATTGAGTACGTTGGTCCACCAGACAAAAGGAAGAAATTTGTGGAGAAACCCAGCAGCCCCACTAAGAACATCCCCATACTCTTTTAGTGACCATAGAAATACCTGCTTTCCTGTCATCTCTCCTGTATGAGTGTAGCAGTCCTTTTTTTTTTCACAGTTATGCAGCAGAGGAAGTAGTGCAGTGCTGAACCTCTCCAACCTTATTTTGACAAATCTGCCGAGTAAAACCTGGATTTGACCTGTGGTTGACACACTGTTTAGACATGTGTCCAGTAGCTTCTGAGTCTTTCAGCATTGCATCTCTGAGTCGGTGATGAGTTCCACTATTCTCTGCTTTACACCATGTCAGGCTGACACCATTTTCTCCTCATGATGAGATATAAGGGAATCATTTTGTTGTTTCTTTTAAAAACAATATTCCTACCAATGTGTACTGTGCTGTGTATTCGGGGATTCATTTGTGTGCAATAGAGGAACGAAATTCATAGTACCACCAGTATTGTGAATTTCCATACCAAAATTAATAAGGGGTTTATTAAGTGATGGTCTAAATTAATCTCTTAATTAAGGGAGAATAGAGTATGTCAGTAGGACGTTTTATCTTGTCCACCAGCTCACAAACTGATCATGAAAATGTGTTTTTTTTGTTTTTTTTACAACAAGGCGGTGTAAAAAGACCTATAAAGTGAACTGGTAGCTGTGATTCACACACATAGTCCTTTGCAAAAATGTAATCAATGCCCATTGACAGAACTTTTCTTCATGGTGCTGAAAAATTCAGGCCTAGTCTGGAAGTATCATTTTTCTTTTTACACACAATTTACACACATTCTGACAAAACTAGCTAAATCTTCGCAGCCACGTACAGTATGTTTAGCAACACAACAGCCCAGTTCAAGCAGCAAGCACATGCAAATACATTTTTAGCTGCTTTTGTCATCAGCCCTAAGCACACTTCCTTAAACTACTGGTATTTGTTAAACTGGACTTTTTATGTGAAGTGATTTTAGATTTAAAGCAACCTGACAGTTATCTAATAGTAGTTTGAGGTTATACTTTAATTTAATGAGATTTGTGTCATTTGCTTTCCATCTCTAAGGCCATTTTTGAGAATAAAAATGTACAAGTTGTCCTCTTGCATCAAGTTAAAACTACAATGCTACAGTCTTCATATTTTTTTTTTAAATTTCACTCGCCTGCTTGACTGACAACTTTGTCTCATTCTGAATCTGGATTGATGTGTTGTTTCAGCTCCTGGCAATTCAGGTTTTAAGGTGTGTGCAATTTCCAGAAAAAAAGTGATAACAGAACAGAAACAAATGGATTTTGTTTGTATCGATGCTCAAAGTTTGCTTTGTGCAAATTGTCTTTTAATCTCAAAATAAACAAACTGACCGCCGTGAACAGATTTATTTAGGGAATTTGCTTTGTTTGCGGCCGCTTGATGTATTTGCTGATTTAATTGTTTTAAATGACGTTGGCATTTGTATGTTTTTGTGCTTATTACTGTTTTTGTTTGGGGTGTTTCTGCCTGTGGGTGTTTGACAGTTCTTCTATGTTGTGTGTGTCCATGTGTATAAGGTGTGCACATGTAGCTGTCATGTAAGCTGCCATTTACTGGTTTTCAGTTTAAAACCATTAAAGAAATATAGTGTCTACCAGTTATTGTATCAGTTTGCACCTCTGGATCAGAAATTCCCGCCATCTGAAGTATCATCAGCTCCATCCTCTTCAAGTTAATTATCCTGGAGTATAACGTGTCAAACAGTGCCAAAGCAGCTTTGGCTTTCAGGCTGATGAAACAGCTGTTTGCGTGCGTGTGTGTGTGTTTTGTGTTTGCCTCTGCTGAACTGTATGCATTTGCTTCTGTTGAACTCATATCCTCTTCGCTTTCTCCGTTTCTCTTTTTCCGTATCTTCTCTACTTGCTGTCTGTCTGAGCAGCTTCCTGCTGACCTCAATAAGATGCACCTAACGGACCACGCCCACCAGCAGGTGATGCACATGCCTCCCAGCCAATCAGGATGCAGCATCGCCAGCGATTCGGGGAGCAGCAGCCTATCAGATATTTACCAGGTAGGTGCATCATTGAGTTTTAAAATCATTGTGTTATTTTTGTTTATTTTTTCTTCTTTGTTTCTGTGGACTGCACCAATAGCGAAAAAATGCACAATTTCCTACATTGGGAGTTTGTCTTATTTATGGATAACAATAAAACCAATACTTATTGATGATCCACAGATCTGTAAAACCTCACATTTTGAAAGTTTACCATTAAAATATTTCGGTTTGCCATATGCTTTTTATCCTGTGTTACATATGATTCATTACCCAACAATGGTATGATCTGAAATATGGAGGATCCAGACTCCAGAAGTGTAATACTTTGTTTTAGCTTTTCTCTCCTCTGCCACTATTACAACATTACTTACAAAACACAATGAAGCCTGTCAGATCCCGTGACAAACTTGTCTCCTGCAAAACTTCCACCACTTCACCGCAACAACATCTGCTCTGTGGCAGAAGTGTTTAACTGATGGCGGATTCTCTTCATCTTGATGAGCTCCAGTTCTGTCTGTCTACCTGTAGCCTATCTGTCAACGCCAGCTCCACCCTCCCTCCTCGTAATCCCTCCGTCTTGCTAATTATTGCGCATCAGTTGTGCGTCCCGGTGACTCGCCTCCCTCTGCACTTCCTGCTGTGGATTAAAGGTCACATGTAGGAAATGAACCTAACCTTTCAAGCTCCATCTATACCTGTGCTGCAGGTATAGGCGCTGTAGCATTATCAGTGTAGCGGGGGAGTGCAGTGATCATTTTGCTGGCATGTGTTTGGTCTCTGTAGGGAGTGAGTACAGTGAGGAATGGCAGGAAAATTGATAGAAAATTTAGTGTACGTCAGGTATCCACTTGTAGAAATCTGTGTGAGACACAAATATCAGTGAATGTCATTGAAATTTTGAATTTAAAATGTATTAAGGATTAGTTGAGTGCTTTTCAAATCAGCTGAATTCTCAAACTAGTTATAATGTCATGGGAAGAAAAGCTAAAATATATCATGCTTGACTTTTTAATACTCTTTCAGACCCAATGAACAGCAGGTCCTGCACCCAAAGCTCTGCATTATCAAATGAAGCCATTTTAGTTGCATATAGGTCGCTGACATTTCACAGACACTGTGATCCAGTATCTGGGGTTAACCCCTGAACTATGTCAGCCTATCCACAACACTCTGCACTACAGCTGGCTTATTTCCTCTCTTTGCTAACAATCGGGGACAAGGAACTTCAGCCACGGTAGCTGAGAAAGACAGGGTGGATGAAGGAGCTTGCAGATGTTAGACATAGAGCCATGGATCACAGGTGTGGTTTAAATTGATGTGCAGGACTGGGTGAGCTCAATTCAGGCCACAACACATTGAAACACCTCGGTTAATTAAAGCACTGGAAATCTGTAGACCTTTGAGATGAACCTTTTCATCTAAATTCATTTTGTTTTTATGTTGTTTCCCCTTAGTCACGATGTCAGCATTATGTCAGGGTTGCATTTATCAAAAGCAACAAGCTGCAATTTCTTGAATTTAAAGGTATCGTTTCCACGCCAGGAGGGCTTTCCATTTTTCTCTCCCCTTCTGTATCTGCCTCACCTTTCTGTGACATTTCTGAGCTTTCGACAGCTCAAGTGTGCTCCGGAATGAAATGCAGCTCTCGGGTGTAGGGTATCTAAATGGCCGCAAATCAATAACCCATAAAAGCATACATGATAAGCCTGTCACCTAATCATTTTAATCCCCCTGCTCTCCTAATCTTCCCTCTTCACACAGAAAGTTGTAATAAATCCAAGAACCTTTCAGCATTATGTGTCAGCCCTGACTGCGCAGCACCGCGGTGATTATTTTGCCGTTCCTCTCCACAGCCTCCATGCCGTTTTCTGCACGTTTGTGTGTTTGGGATTGCAAAAGTTCTATTTGACATTGGCTTGTTAGTATTGTTAACTTTCATCAGGGGAACCGGTGAGGTCTGTTCGCTGCACACTAATGAGCTATTTGAGCTGCTGTGATCTATGGACACTGCTGGCCACAAATCTAATGAGGACGTTTGTTTCATTGAGGAACAACGCCGATGTCCTGTTTTTTCTTTTACGTGCCAAATGTGCTAAATGTTTTTACACACAAAATATCTTTAATACTTAGCAAGATTCCCTGAATCAAAGCTTTCAACCAGAAATAAATGAATATATAAGAGGAGAAAGTAAAGTGGAAGTGTGTTAAAACAGGGCAGAGCACAATTAAGAAAAAGGCCACAAATTACTGTCAGAGCCAAAAACCTTTCTGACTAAAGGAGCTTGCATAATTCAGATACCCGCCGTAGTCTCTGCCACAGCCGGTCCTCCCTCCTCAACCTGTCTGTTTGCAGATTGATGCAAGTCAGGTCAACCTGGGTCAGGCGTTTAACACGGAGACCTGATCTTTTCATCCTCAGATTAGGTATTTATCACACGCGTCTGATCCCATCCGCTTGTCACTGACCCGGCTCAGTGTTTGTTTACAGCTGTCTTAAAGCGCTGACCCTCCAGTCAGCTGCAGTCCTCAGCTGTCAATGCAACAGACTGTTTTCGTTGTGGGTGTCTCCCACACATTCTTTATTTCTTTCCTCACTCCCTCTCTTGCCTTGACTTGACACTCAGCAGGTCACTTTACTCTATCTCTCTCAAACTTTTCACCTCCTCTCTCCCTCGCTCCTCGTATCCCTCCCTTCTGTGCCTTTCATCTCTCGGCTCCTGTATTTCCCGCACCTTTGTACGATCCTGCCTCATTTTTCATTTTTCTATTTTTGTGCTGCTGTCACAGGGCTGTAATATACAGTGTTTCTTGCAGATCCAAAAGTCCCTCGTCTCTAGAAAATGTCCTCCTGGCCCAAACTTGTTCTGAGACTGGGGGTATTGGACTGAAAGTGCACATCCTGCATTCTAAATGAACTGGGCTCTCAGAAGCACTGAAACATATGTCAGTGACAGTGGGTGAGGGGAAGGAGAGTGAGAATGTAGCGAGAAGTTGTTGTCTCGGGATTGCACCACTGTTCTCTCCCACTACATTAATTCCTCCTTTTTCTGTAAAAGTTTAAACTAAAAGGCACTTTTATGCAAGAATTTGACAACCCCCATACTAGCTTCTAATTGGCTTTATAGGAAATTCCTCCTTTTTGGGAGCTATAAAAAGGCCTTTCAGCGTTTGTGTTGGATTTTCACATTCATGCCATGTTGAATTCATGAGACACATTTCCTCCAAGAATCGATAAATCAAACATGAAACAAAAGAAAATGTGTGTTTTTCTATGGAGCTTACACTTTTGTCAGCAGAAGAATTTAGCTGGACGGCTGCTGTTGAGCTGTTTGGTTTCTTGAGCGGAGGTTAATAGAAATGAAGTATTTATCCTTCTGTTCTGTTCTGTTCTGTTCTTTTCGTTCTGCAATTGAAGGCAGAAAAGATGCACCACAACTCATTCTCTGTCATTTCTCATTGGTGTGATGAGAAAATGAACACATTCGCAAAAACCAAAGTGAGGATTTACATTTTATTTTTTGGACAGTATTTAGTCTGGCTTGCCTTTTCTCATCTGTTAGGCCAAATTAAATGCATCTGGTGCTCTGGGAACAAGAAAGGGCCGAGCAGCTGTTGTGTCTTAAAAGTCCTCTAAATAGCTTGTCCAACTTAATTTATGAAAACAAGATTGGGCCTGTGCCTGAACTTGGGATGAACTGTAAAACCTATGAAACCTCTTGTCCCAAATCCCTTTGGAACCCAGGAGCTCGATTGCATTGAGTCCGTCTTGTAGAGTGTAGGCCAGGAAATTAAACTTTTTTTTGTCCCCCCACAAGCTACAACAGTTAAAATCTCTCAACCAAATCTTCCCCAGTCTACTCAATCACCACTACCTAAACACTGGAGCATTCGCTATCTACAGGATGATGTCCCCGAGTGAAATAGATACCGGCTTGCTCCTTGACTTTAAACTTCCTTTATATTACACAATTACCCTTCAAGGTGGCATGTGGACATAGTTACACATGAGAAAAAAATGAAAAACAGCAGCGAAGGGAATATGATATAATACGGAGGAGAATATTTAGTATGTGAAGAAATAAACAAATGGCCAAGAAGTGCACTAGTAAAAATGCAATAGTTACTTAGACGTAGCCATTTTTATTTGTGTTTCTCACTATCAAAGCTAAGACAAACTAGTATACCACCTTTATCTCCTGTAAAATATTTGTATTGTCATGTAAATCTAATATTTTTTAAACAACACATGATAACAGTCACACTCTAATTTAGACATTTATTAGCCCTGCAACAAAAAGTAATTTTCATAGACAAAATCTGTCCTCAAAATCCAGATCAGTACAACCTGTAGTCCTTTAAATCGCCACATCTGTTCATCCTTATGATGGAAAACCAGGAATGCAGTACAACGCCTTTCCTCTTACTTTTTTTCCTTCAGTAAGGATGATAAATGCTGGAGGAGTGAGTGAATTCTCTGCCTAAATAAATACATCAATAAAAATTAATTTGGAGAACAGGCAGAGACAGAGGTGAAATCAGGCACAAGTCGATTCTTTTTGCTTTTAGGCCTACCTGCAAAAAAAAAGCTAACAGATGGCTTGCAGTGCCGCCACGACCATCGGAGAGCTCCTCTTTTCACCTCTGGGTTGATGGTTCAATTCCCAACTGACCTAAAAGCCCCCGATGCCCCTTTAGATCCATACTCTGCCAACCATCTGTCTGCCCCGCACTGGGGAAATATGGAGGAATATGAATTATTACCACTGGATTTAAATATTTGGCTGTTGGCCTGTGATTTTTAGTCTGGGAGTTGGTGTCGGGGTTTAGCTCAGGGTCACAGGTACAGCTGCTCATCCCAAGGTTATCTTTGTGTTTTATGTGGATGATTCATCACTGAAAATTTGCATGAAATAAAAGCAAAACATTTAATAGAGCTGTTGAGCCAGAAAGGGAATTTGATAGTTTAAAGTTAGTCAGCTCTTTCTACTGAAACGCTTGATACTGTTTGTCACTCAGTAGTTATCAGGAACTGAAGATGTAGAGAAAATCATATTGTAAAGATGATCGCTTTGAATTTGGCTGAGTTTACATCACTCAGAAATGCTTTTGTGTCTCCGTCTCATCATGTTCTTTTCATATCTTGGTAACTGCACGGAATTTAATACCATTAAGGCTCCTTTTTTTACGTGCTTTGATTCAAATCTTTACGTGTCCCCATTGCAAAGCCTGAGAATCGTCTCGTCTTGGCACGTATCAATGCGCCCGATATTAATTTCAAAGTCATATTATTGCAGGATTTGAAGCTTGAGATAGACAGTTTTGAGTTTAACCCTAAGGCAATTTCAGCTCAATCAAAGGTGATTACAATTCACAACGAGACGGGGGCTTTCATATTTGATGCATAGACTGCTGAACTAATTTGTCATCCAAATAAGTCAAAGAATTTATCCTTGACTACTTCCTTCCCTTCTTGTACTGTTGTCAACCAACCACGCTGTCTTTCTTCCAGGCCACAGAGAGCGAACTGGGCGATGTGGACCTGTCTGGACTTCCAGAGGCTGCAGTGGACAGCGAAGAAGAGGAGGAGGAAGATGAGGACCTGGAGAGAGCTTCAGACACTCTTCTGGGCCGAGATCTGGTCCGAGAGTGTCTGGAAAAAGACCCGGCCGACCGCAATGACGATGACATCGGTCAGTCTAACTCCGTGCTGCTTTTAGCGACGTGTTTTTCTTTTATAATACGTCTCATTTTAAACATGACTTGAAAAGCTGGAATGCAGTCACATTATGTATGTCAGATGGCAACAAAGGGAGCTCGCATGAATGTCGCTCTCCTTCTTTGGTAGACGTGAGCGCTCTCAGTTGCTATTTTTGGACCATCTATCATTCAATAAGCGCACACGAGGGAGATACACAAATGCTCCTCTTTCATAAAGACCCCTCGCAGTGGTCTCCAAACATCAGTGCCCTTCCAGTGTGTATTTTTAAGCAGGCAATCAGAGTCGACCTCATTAGTGGAACCCAGTGGGGTCCTGGAGGAGAAGGTGACCACATCAGAGAGCCGGGAGAAGTTGTAAAGACCCGGCTCGCTGTGTGCCTGCTGGGAGGCTGGCCTTCTCATGGCCTTCACCATTACAGTCACAGCTCATTCACAGGAAAGTCATAATGTAAAGAGGAGCTGACGGGAGAAGGTGTCTAACCCAAGCTTAACAGTGGCTTACTTGAGTTTATTTTTATATCCTATCTATATACTGTGGAATTATTTTCCAAAATAAAAGGCAGAGATTTTCAATCAGAGGTGGCAATGATTCAGACAGACAACTGCCCGAGGCGTTGCATGATAAACCTTAGCGATGATGAGCCGGTGAAAACAATAATAAAGCAGGAGAAGTCATTTCAACTATGTGCAAAATTAGATTTATTTTTCCAGATTACTTCTTTACCTTTGCCCTATCGATTACTGGATAATTGCATCTTTGGTCTTCTGAAAAGTTTTCAAATAATACAATCATGAAGAGACAAATCAGTCTTTGGTTGAGCTGCTCACAAGCAAGAAAAACATGAGGGGTTGCATGAGGACATAGATTTGATTGCTTTACAAGCCAGTATCTTTGGGATCCGGTGCTTTTGCTAGTTTTTAATTCAGTCATCATGATATCCATAATAGGATTTTAACTTTATAACTGCTATAGATTTAATTAGTACCTGAGTAAAAAACTGCAGTGGAGAGTTTTTGTCTATTTTTCCAGTTCATGTAGTCAAATTAAATTATTAGTCTAACAAGTAGTGTTTGGTTTTGCAATTGTATCTTTGCAGAATTTAGCTGTACTCTGCTTAGCTGACCAGATTATTGATTGAACACTCATAGTAATACACATATAATAAATTGAATATCAACTTTGCAATTCAGTGTTTTCTCATCTGACAAACTACACACTATCTGGTACTTCAAACTATTTCTTTAAATGCTAAGAATTACTTCAAATAAGATGACTGTTAGAAGCATTTTTTAAAAGAGTAAATGTAAGAACTAAGGAGGGAGAGAGGAAATAAGGTGATAATGTCAGAGGGGAATGAAAGGGAGTTACTGAACCAGGCAGCCTAGTGAACAGGAGGCAGAGAGACGATCAGCAGGAACAGGGTGTGAAAGTTCCTCTGCAGTCATGAATCAGCGCATCTTTAAGATATACGCTGGTCCATGTGTTTGTGTTATTATGCATAAAGAGTGGTATTTGAAAATGAAAACACAAAGCTTTTTCCTAGAGCACCAGTGGTTTCGCTCTTTGAACACTAAGACTGAAAATTTAACTCATTCTAAAATGTTTTCTCTTTGTTTTTTAATTGACAGTAGCCCCTACGAGGCGCGTGAGTGACATTTGCTTGCAGAAAGGATCATTTAAAAGTCCATAAATTGTTTTAGAAATTCAACTGTTGGTGTGTGACGGAAAAAAAAAATTCAATAAGCATTTTGCCTTGCACACCTGAGACACATTGCTCTGGATACACAAGTCGTATCAATACACACTTTTTCCTTTTGTTCACAAGGCCTTGTGTTTCTTTTTCCTCATTCTTCATTTGCTTTCTTTTCTCTGCTTCTTTCTGCCAAATAGAGCAACTACTGGAGTTCATGCACCAACTGCCTGCCTTCGCCAACATGACCATGTCTGTGAGGAGGGACTTGTGCAGCGTCATGGTGTTTGAGGTGGTGGAGCAGGCTGGCACGGTCATACTGCACGACAAACAGGAGGTACGATTGGACTAGTAGCTCACAAGGAAATGTATAAGCAGAAGTATTTAACAGTTCGATAAGAGGGACACAGAAAACAGAAAGCCTTTACCGAGTATAAATGTTGCTTAGGCAGAGTTTTCACTGCATGTCCCATTTAGATTAATCACTAACAGAGTAATTATGACTTGCAAAATATGTTTTTATTACATCTGCTTCATTGACGCTATTACAGTGAATTCCCTCCACAATTAAATGAGTATTTATCTTTATTTAGTGAGAAGCAAAGATGTGTTTGCTGGCTTGCTGAATCTTAATTGGGTTGTTAATATAATTACAGCTGAAACATCTTAAATGTGTCTTTTTTTATCATGTTAACTGGTGATGTAGCTTCTTACACAACACTAAAATGCACACAGGAATTTTAAAGTTGTGAAATGAATGGTAATATGCAAAAATATACACACACACACACACACACACACACATGCTGGAGGTGTTTCCTTGCTCACAGACTTAAATGTGTCCACTTTTCTTCAGCTTATCCAAAAGCTAATTCACAGAGAAACTGGTATGTGCAAAGTCACTGCAGTGCATTAGCCCCGTCAATCACTTGAGCTGCTACACAGCTAATTAATTAAGTTACATGCCTGAGAAACGGGAGCTCTGTCATGGCTGTTTGGTTACACACAGCAGCATCAGAACCGACAGGGCGATAAACGGCCATGAACTGCCAGCCGCTAAGCTCAGGAGGATGGTAATGCGCATCAGCAGGACCAAAAAAACCAAAACAAAACGTAAACATGCCCGCTTGTGGAAAAGTATACATGAATAGGCAATGTGCATCGGATGTGGGCGCGCGCCTCCATACTGTCTGTGTGGAGTCAGTTGATGGGCAGTTCTCCTCCACTCCACTGTCTCTCTGTGGATTCATGTTGAAGGTCAAAGAGAAGCACTTGGCCTCTCTCTGAAGTGAACAGGATTTTGCTAAGTGAGTGAGAGAGAAAGGAAAATAGAGAGTCTAAAGTGGTCTAACAGAAGTAAAAAAAAAAGTGAGGCAAAGTGCTTCAGACGACAGACGAGAAGAGAAAATGGAGGACGAGGGTGCCGACAAAGGACTGTCACAGTTACAGTCAAGAGTGAAACCAGCAAGTTTCTTTCATTGTCCTTTTATTTGAAGAATAAAAAAAAAAATCATAAAAGTAGCTAATAATAGTTCACCCACTTCTACAGGCTGCTGTAAATATTCATGATGTAAATTCAGGAACTATATGCAATACTGGCGTTATATTTACATAAACTTTAAAAAAAAACTGCTCCTCAAGAACTTTTGTTTACAGTATATATGAGGTTGATTATGTACCTCTTCTTTCTTATTAGCATTTTATCATTTCTGGGTAATAAGGAGAGTGACAGGTTGACTGATGGGGAGAGAAAGCGAGAGGCACAGAGGAGAGAATTGGAGATTTGCTAGGTGAGAAACAGCGAGAGAATGAAAAGGCAATGAGGAGGAAATATCAGTTATCGCTGCGGAGGGAGCTCAGGGCTCCTTTACCCTCCCTCCATCCGCTCACACTCGGGATGAATGGCTTGTTATATTATGCCTGCCAGCATTTCCTTTTCTAAAGTCACCACCGGAGACACAATACCTCTTCATACCTCACACAACACTCATTATGCTCACAATATACTGCATGTCAGTCAGTAATATAAAGCCATTTTAAGATTCATTCTTGTGCAGTTATAGGTCTGTAAATGAAGCAATTTAAAATAAAACTGTGTCAAGTGATCATGATTAATCTTTTTTTTTTGCCAATCCACAGTTAAACCATTGTATGTTTCACATTGTGTTCCTACACAACGCTATGAAGTATTAAGTAGCTGATGTTGATTGAAAAGATTATAAAAGAAACGCATGATATCTAGTAGTGGAGCAGACCAGAATAGGTTTCATCTAATATATCTGATGATTTCATTTGTCATTTTGTCGCCTCTGTGCACCTGTCTGCAGCTGGACCTCTGGTATGTGATCCTGAATGGAGCAGTTGAGATCAGCCACCCTGAAGGAAGAATGGAAAGCCTTTGTATGGGCAACAGCTTCGGCATCTCGCCCTCGCTGGACAAACAGTACATGAACGGAGAAGTTCGCACAAAGGGGGATGACTGCCAGGTAAAGACGGCGAATAAAGACAGAAATGAAAGCGCTCTTTGTTGAGCTGCGCGGTGCAAGAGGTTGATAAAGCCTCAGTGTGACAAAAGGGTTGCGGGACTACTTGTTGTCGCAGTTTAGAAAAAGACTGCAGACACATGTTTCCCTTAAAAAGCAGAGTCACTCTCTGCGTACACTGACATTTGGCCGACTCCTGTGTGTGTCACAGTGAAGCTAGGAACTATGTTGACTTCATTTTGTAAGACAAAGAAATCTTATATTGAGACTGTTACTTTCATAATTGCGAATATGTTTTTAATGACCATTATTTGATACATACAGAAGGACATGTTTTCTTATTTTAACCTTGCTCCACTTATCCTTACTGTGTAAAATGTATGCAAAGTGAAGTCTTGTTTTCATTTCTTCTTTTGACAATGGAGCAGAGGGTTGCAGCCACAACAAAATAGTTGCATCTGAATTTCCTATTTATAGTTCATTCTTTATAAAAGTTAAAATTTTGATTACTGTAGTTGTTCTACTTTTAGAAAAGGTTTAAAATACAGAATCTTAGTTGTGAAGAAAGTCACAGGCTTAATATGCATTTTCATTGTGCGCTTCATTTCTCGGATCATTTATGGTCTAGTAGGTTTCTAAAGCAAACCAAGTCTTAATATAGAGAGCTGAGGTGAAAAGTAAAAGAGGCCTCGCAGCCCTTCTGTCAATGCTGCCCAGTTCCTCCCCTGCGCACATCATTTCCTGTCTTTAAGTACAGAGGAAGTTGCAGAGGTAGAGTCTGGTGAAGCAAATGCAGAAATTGATGATTTAGTCAAGGGAGGCACAGCAAGTGACAGCGTTTGAGGGCAAAGTCATGTCTTAGCGCGTTCTGCTCAGCGTCGTATAATGGGAGGTTAGTTTAGCTCTGGTGTCCAACTGTAGTAAAGGATGCTTCTGCGAAATGGCAAGTTGAGGTGATTTTGGACCACCACAGGTGCTTCAATTTGATCAGGTTTAGTGCAGCAAAAGAACAGTGTTGTTGGACGTTGCTTTCTTCACCCGTCCGTCCCTCCCATGCCGCTCTCTGCCAACCGTCATCATGCTTCTTGTGTGCTGTTGTCTGAGTACCCGAACGTGGTGCAGAGCAATGTTGTGCTCTACTACAAGTTCATCCGCTGTCCACATGTCATCCTCGACCAGTTCGTCTGCATCGCCCAGGAGGACTACTGGCGCATCCTCAACCATGTGGAGAAAAACACGCACAAGGTGGAGGAGGAAGGGGAGATCGTGATGGTGAAGGAGCACCGTGAGCTGGACCGCAGCGGAACCAGGAAGGGACACATTGTCATCAAGGTTTGTGATTTCGACTGTTGAAGTGCAGAGCTGTTAGACTTTAAAGAAGAGGAATGTGAAGAGGGTTTAAAGGGGGAGGTTTTTAGCTGTTTTGAAGAGTCCACTGAAATTTGTTTGGATTCCAAGGTTTCCCCTTTAACCTCAAATAAAGATTTATAAAGTGAAACGTTATTAGTATCTCTACAAAGTGTGAAATTATTGCAGACAATAAAGTGAAGATGCAAGCTTTTTAAGGTTCAAAGTCAAGCTAGACTGGTGTTTTTTGCCTTCTTGTAATTAACGCAATAGCAAAATACATTTAACCTTGTCCAAGAACATGTTCTAATCAAGATGAGACAGGAAAAGACCCCCAGAAGGCTTATTGTCCAAGGTTAAGGTTAAGCTAATAAGCATGGCTAATCTCACCCTAAGCTGGGGTTAACATGACTAACTTCTTAAATCAGGAATTCAAGTTTTGCTTCGCTTGGTTTTTCATTATTATCAACTTAATACACTGAAATGTTTCGATTTGATTTGAGCATCACTTCATTGTGAACTGACCATTCCCTCACATGCAGTGTCTCGCGAAAGCATCCGTGCAGCCGCCCGTTGTTCTTCGTTGATCGTTAGGAAGCACCGTTAGCACTATTAGTGTTTGCTGGAGCATTTTCTTGTACGCTACATTGCAGTGCGTTCCAAAGCCTTTTGATCCTTTCCCCCGAATCTCCAGAGGCGGCCAGGTATTGATCGGATAATGGGCCTGAATGATTCTCTTGGCTGCTGCTCCGAGGAAAGCTGTTGGCTCTAAAAACACATCCAGTGGAGATGAGTCAATTCACAAGTGTTAGCATTTCCGCTTCTGTTTTTGGCTTTGTTCTTTTTGTGTCAGACAAAAGTGGATGCCTTTCTAGTTTCTGTTCCCCGTCAAGTGAATCGTTTCCCCCAGAAACCTTCGGCTGTGGTGACACTAACAAACTCGGCAAAACGAGAACAGTGGAGTTTATGCGTGTTCAACGCTTTATATCTGCTACTTATGCATAAAAATTCCGCTGGACGTAGAAATCATGAATTCATGTATTTAATTTACATACAAATCACAGCAACGATACCTCTGCAGTAAAACCTTGTGTTTGCTCTTGTAGACGAGCTATTGTGTGCGTGTCTGTCTTTGTGACATTGATGGGTGACTGACAGCTCAGTTCAATAGCTTCATCTTTAGAGTTTATGTCCTTGTCACTTTTATGATTAATGTTGAAATAATTTATTCAAATTGGTGTGTGCGTGTGCTCTTGTGTTGCTTCGAGTGAGCGTATGTCGTTATGGATTATGTGTGCCCTTGTGTGATTTCAGCTGTCTTGCATGTGTGTGTGTGTGTATAAGAGTGTGCAGTCTGCGCTGCATGCCTTTCTCAGAGTGTACTTATGTTAGTATATTTTTCACCCTAGGGAACCCCCGAGCGTCTGATCATGCATCTTGTGGAGGAACCGTCGGTGGTGGACCCCACCTACATCGAAGACTTTCTGCTGACCTACAGGACCTTCCTGTCGAGTCCCATGGAGGTCGGCAAGAAACTGCTGGAGTGGTTCCAGGTGGACAACCTCCGAGACACGGTCAGTCTGTGTGTATGTCTACACGTAAGGCTACCTCTGCAACAATGTTTATCAGGATTAACGCTCAGTTTTAGGGTGCAGATTACAATTTTGTTAGGTTAGGTGCTAAGAGCTGGGCTTAGGCTTTTAGTTATGATGGTTAAAGTTGCATGGGTAAAGAGAAATGGAAAAGTTTGGGATATGTATGTGTTGTGGTGAGAGAGGACGTGAAAGGTCAAGCAGGATAGTTCGCTGGGACGGGAATGTTAAGCGACTTGAGTGTTGCAAGGTAGAAAAGCATTGCATTAAGTCAAAACTACTTACATTCATTCATATCATTGTACAGTACGTGTGCAGTTTTAAATTGTGTTTCTTATGCTCCAGTAAGCACTCCTGATGTTTTGTATTCATGCATGTTGTTGGAAATTTATGTGCCGTGCTGCTCACATGCCGATCAATACAGGTTCAGCTAGCTCAGCTGTCCTTGAGCCCGGTAGTGATTTGTTCATGCCTGACGCGTCCATTGTCCATAACTGCTTTAACCTAAGATTAGTCTTGTACTGTCAATAGTCTTTATGTGGTTGTCATTCAGGCTTATAATCTTCAGCCCCATTAAATAGGATCTAATCCTGTACAGAACAGCCAGGGAGAAAGTCACAAAATGTGTAAAGAGAAAAGATGGCATGAAAAAACCAAAGAAAAGGAGGAAATGGAGTGTGTTCATTGATTGATGCTCTGTGTTGATGCATCGGCTGTTGCTCTGACCTTTTTTAAAGGTTAGGACAACGTTCCCAGCACTGTAAATTTGCAGAAATGATTGTTTCCCCAGTGCCTTTTGGTTATTTTTTTTCTTGTAATTATTGTAGCACAAAATTAGGCAGTCAACTAGTGTTTTTAAAGGTTTCCTCTGCAGCCATGCACAAGGTCATTAAATAGCTTCCCTGCTGTTTCTCATGTGTAGCTAACTACTATGGAGTTTTTCTCCCCAAACAGAAAGACACATGGATGTATAACTGGCTTGAATAAAAACAAAATCTGACCCTCTGAGCTGCATTTTACTAAAGCAACAGTGACATTATTTAGCAAGTTATCTTTAACCACTGAGAAATATTTCACACAGGCAGCTTTGACATTATGCTGCCTATACTTAAAAGCACTCATGTTAAAGAGCATTTAGTCTGCTAAAGTGTCCTTGAGCAAATTAGCGGCACCCAAACACCTGCAAGGTAGTTAAATACGACTTCTGACCCGACACCAACGTGATAAATACTCTGCAAGTGCTCTCAACAGATGATTTATCAAAGCAGCTTATACTCGAACAGTGCAAGGCCTGTGAAGAAATGAAGAGTGAAGTTAAATAGTTACAGGAACTCTGTATGCTTTGTCTCTCCGCTGAATAAAGCTGTCTTTGCGTTTCACAGGTAACAAGAATAGTGCTGCTGTGGGTCAACAACCACTTCAATGACTTCGAGGGTGACCCGGCTATGACACGCTTCCTGGAGGAGTTTGAGAAACATCTGGAGGCCACAGTAAGATCAGATAACGATCTAAACTTAGTTTTACCTTAAGCCCACCTGAGTTTAGTCACCATGTTATTCACAAAATTATATTATCTGTTTTACCTGTTGAATCTCTGCAACCACATGTTTCTTCTACAACATAATTCTAATGTTTAATGTTATCCTAATGTCTTGTGCACTTTATTTTATTGTTTTATTTCCCGTATTCATCTCAAGGTTGAAGGGAGTGGCTGCATTGGAATTTTGCAGTCATATGTTTTATTGTGGTTATGCTGTGATTGCGTAGTTGTTTTTGAAAATGCCAGCAAAGTATGTTTCATAAACCAAATTCATCAGAACTCTAGCACAGCTTTACACCTGTATTTATCATTGTATTATAACTACTTTAAATTACAAAACAGCAAAATACCCATTAGACAAACCCACACTCTACATCTGTGTTATTATTTGTATTCTACATGAAAAAATATGATATGCAAGTAATTTTTGCATCCAAAACTACACAGCGGACCTCAGGCGACACAGGCAAAAGAAATACAAGGTTCTTTAAGTTCAGAATTTTCTGCTCTTTCCTTTCAGAAAATGAAAGGCCATTTGAGGCTGCTGAACATAGCATGTGCGGCCAAGGCTAAGTGGAGGCAGATCACTCTGCAGAAGGCATCCAGGGAGTCACAGCTCCACTTCAGTGTGCAGGGAGGCAGCGAGAGAGGATTCGGCATCTTTGTTGAGTCGGTGGAAGAAGGAAGCAAGGCTGCAGAGGCCGGACTCAAACGGGGAGATCAGGTGAGAGCACATCATGTGGTAAAATGCAGAGTGGTACCACATGACACGGCGCTATCTGTGTTTTTGTGAGGTATTGCTGTTATAATGCTGATTTGTGTTGACAATCAGCAATCTTTCATGTTTTTTTTTATGAAAAGCAGAGATTTAGAAAAACATTTAAACAGTACAAATACCTGAGCATTACTACATTGCTATCCGTTGATACTGTACACACCCTTAGATTTAAATCAATCCCTAATTAAACAGCTATAAAGAGAATCATCAGGGCTCTTTATCCAACCACTTCTTAGAGGAATGTCTTGCATAAAATTACATCATCATATTTTCCCTGTGATAGAAGAAAATGTACTTCAGATCAACTCATCATCAAAACTGTGTGCTGTCGTAAAAATAGAACTTCAACATAAGGTTTACTGTCATGCTAGAGTCAGCTTCCTAAGAGGAGTACTGGTCTTTAACCACGTTTCACTGTGAGGTTTTCGGTTGTAGTGTCTCATGATCTGATCAGTCCAGTTGTTACAAGGTCAGCACTTTAATATCATGTGACATTGTGGTTAAACTACAGTAGTGGAATACACAAAATGTTCCCGTAGATGTGCAGAGCTAAGCTGGACTTTTAGTCAGTGCACTCTAGCCCATAAATGACAAACAGAAAACATGCTTAGACAGTTCTGTGCATTTATGAAACTTGAAATGTTTACACAAATATTACATTTTATATTCAGACCTTGTTATGTCACTGCAAAGCGCGTTCAAGCTACAACAAGCTACTCAGATGCTTCAGTGACAAAAAATGCACCATCTCTCTTCAGTGAAATCCAGTGGTCGTTCATCACCAGGGTGTAGTGAGACATTGTGTTGACGGCATCACACTTTCGTATTAGGTTTCGAGATTTGTTAGTGTTTAGGGAATGGAAAAAGGAACCAGACATTGTGAAGTGAGCTCTTTTAAGATAATCTGCTCTTTAGCTCACATGACCTTTTACTGGGTTAAAAATTCACCTCTCAGCACAACAAAAACATGGTCACAAAGGTCAGCTGGGGGTTGAAGTTTGAACTGCAATCAAATCACAGTTCATTAGTACACTAATTTTGATGGCGCTTGAGAGGATCTGTAAGAAGTAATGTGAATATATTCTATGCTTGTGACTGTCACAGATTGTTCTGTTGTATGTGCGATCAAACTGAACTTCTGGTGGATACAGTGACTCGTTATCCTGCCTGGTTAACTTTTGAGTTACTACTTTGTGACTGTACTCATCTTGCTTGCATTTATTGTCTTTGGTCTGGACTGTGTGGGCTTCCTGTTGTCACAGTTCATATATTTTTGTTCCTGTGTTAAATGTGTTGCAGTGAGTAAGCAGTTAAACACAAGTTATCTTGATGTACAACTGGTTGTTGTGAATGTTAGTGAAGGACATACAGTTAAAAAGATCTAAAAAGCTCTTAGTTGTGTGGCAGTCAGTGTAGTCAGTGTGATCAACTGCTGTCCCGTTTGTGATCTCAAAAATTCTTTACTGCCTTATATGGGAGATTCTGTTTTTAAATTAATATTTTAACTACTGCAAACAGATTTATGTGACAAGCTGCTTAACAACCACACTGAGCTGCACAGATCCTTTTTTTGTGTCATTTAGAAAGGACAGGAACTACATTGTTTATCATTTTTATTTTTAGTAAACTGCTAAAAGATATACAGAGTCAAGACAATCAAGAATAATAACATGACAGACAAACCAGAATGCAACTTATGTGTTTCAGATTTCAGTCAAGTCAGGATCTAAATTCTAGTTTGAGGAGAATTCCATGAGTTTTTTGCTTTTTTTCCCCTACTAAGTAAACGCCTTGATTTGATTTTGTCATTTCATCTGTCTCAGATCATGGAGATCAATGGTCAGAACTTCGAAAACATCTCCTTCTCCAAAGCTGTTGACATCCTGAGGAATAACACCCACCTTTCCCTCACTGTCAAAACCAACATATTTGGTGAGTCAAGCCACACAATAAGTCACAGATCGCAAAATGCAACAAACACTACATATCAGACAGAAGCCGATCAACTTCCTCTCTGTGTCTCCATCCATCAAGTCTTCAAAGAGCTCCTCAGCAGGATCCTGCACGAGAAGAAGAACGGCGGCCCTCACATTCCCAAGATCCAGGAGAAAAAGGGCAATCGCTTCTCCATCCCCGACCTTCCTGGAGACATGGAGTTCCCCACAGACCACAAAAGCACCCGGAAAATGAAGGCCAACACTGTGTCTGGAGGACGCAACAAGATCAGGAAGATGCTGGAGAAGACGCGCTTCAGTATACTTCCACCCAAACCATTCAGGTAAGAGGAATTATTTAAACACTGCTGCTTGCGTGGCACTGTACCCAGCTGTGCTTAAATGAGGACCAAATGGATTATTAGTGCTTCACTTTAAATGGGTTGTTAAAATTGTGCATATTGAATTGAATGCATAACAGTTAGTGTGTTTCAGTAATCACGTATGACATAAGGGAACAACTTTCTATCAGGTCCAGCTGAAAAGCACCACAGACTGCAGAAAGGTTTTAAATATTGACATAAATTATGCTAATTAAATGTGATAATTAGTTCTAAATGCAACATGGCATGAACTGAATGTCAGAAAGATTTACAGCAGGGCTTTATAAGATTAGTGAGCTCAGGTGGATTTACTTGAATCTGAGACCTCTTCTATAAAAGCAGCTCTAGAACAAGTTGGTCTCCTCTCTTAATTGAATCAATCCACTGCCTCTCCATCAGTTTTTCTTGTAGAAAATATTGGAGGAATGAGCAGAAATCTAGCCTTCTAGCTTTTTGACTGAACCAAGCCACTCTGTTGCACCGCAGAAAGTGATAGAGAAGCACATTTTACCCTTCCTCTTTCAGCTGGTCTGACTCGGAAATCGAGCAATTTCACCCTCACTATTTATACCACTCGGCCACATTTACTGCAAAGTGGTGGCTCACAGTCCATCCCAGTTGAAGCTCTGGTTAAAGAAACCCTTGCTGTGAAAATGTGGTATTCACTTTTGCACTTACTTTTTAACTTGTGGTTCTCAGAGATGCAAAAACTCTTTCTGCTCATTCACTTATCTCTTGCTGCTGTAATTTAGATAGGCTGCGGGCAAGTCGCAAAAACGTAAAAAGGCATCATCATCATCATCATCATCATCATCATCATCATCATCATCATCATCATCATCATATAACCATTGTTAAGTGTCATCCATAACCAGCCATTGTACTGGCAGCATCTGGAGCAATTGTGCAGATGAGACTCACATTCAATATTCCACCCGTCGCGTGCTGATACAGAGTTGATTTCATTTCATCATTTCATGCCTCTCAAGGCCTCATTTAACTCCATACTGTGTCAGTGCTGGAGAGAGAGGACGCTGTTCTCGCCATGTTAATTGCAGAGCCAACTCACTCAACGTAAACTCACTCGCGCGCATCCACAGACACTACAGTGCATGTCCACATCCTCTCGTTTCTATCAGTTTGCAGCTCAGCTGTGATTACGTCCACAAAGCAGCACAGTTTGCACGAAGACCGAATGCGCTGTGTCTCATAATGCGACATGCCATCGTGCGACTATTGATCCGGTTTGGTGCACAGCTTCCAAAAGGTTCTCTGCTGCGTTCTATCCATCAACCAAACAAGGACTTTCATTGTTTTGTGTTGTGATTTAGATTTTTTTTTTTTTGGGGCTGGTTGGCACAATTCAAACGAGTCTTTGGTTCAAAGGAATTGACGGCTGATTAAAGGGACTGAAGATGAGACGGGTGATTTGGGTCAATCAGGTCTCATCATCGGTGTCTGCTGGGGGATGAAACTCTGAGGGGGAGGCAGTTTTGTGAAGTTGTATGCTGTGTGTGTGTGTTTAGAAAGGTACAGGCTGTTCCGAAGAGTGTATTTCTGAAGCATTTTTAGGTACACACACACACACACACACACACACACACACACACACATTGTATTTACTGTCATTTTAAGGACATATTGGCTCACACAAGGATGAAAACCGTGACCACCGTTGCTATGGTGCTCTGTCTTTCTCATAAATGCGACATTTCAATGCTTTTGCTCACTTTTTTAAACATCCGCACAGATAAATTAAGCCAGATAACCTTGCTTAACAACTTATACTGCTTTTCAGTTGCTCTTGCCCTGGTAGCACGCTTTGAAACCAAACGTCACTGCTGCTGCTGCTTCTGTCTGTTCTTGGCTGACATTGTACTCCACTTCAGATCAGGATTTTATATGACAAGGGCACGCTGGCAATAAACAAGTTGCTTTTCTGCCAAATGAAGATGTCCGGCTCTGTGTGCTTACCTTTATACACATCCTATATCATCCAGCCCAGTTGATTTATATTCCACAGATTGGAAAGCAATAGACAGAGGTTTTAGCCTCTAGTCTGTTTGTCTCAGAAGTCTGGCTGATTTAGTGAGATGAAGATAAACCCCGTAACTCTCCATGTGTCATGACAGCATTTTCATTCTCCCTACTTCTTTGTGATACAGATACATATGCTAACGCATGATGTGTACCACAATAATTAGTGTGCATCCCTGCATTCATCGTACATGGCATTAACATTTTACTGCAAACTGCTCCAAAACTGCTGCCGCTCCACTTGCCATAAGTATTGTTTAGGAAATTATTACTCTGTTACAATTGTTGATGCGACTGAACAGCCAATAGAAAGTCCAGGGTTTTCTTCTGTTACTTGTCTATGTCACCATGTAACACGTTTGTGTTATTATTTTCTCGCTTGGACTCACTACCTATACTTATAGATCTGGGGTCACAGTATGTAACCAACAAGTTTTTTTCCAAATCTGACCAATCAGAGCGCACCAGGCTTCTTTAAGGAGGACCTTAAAGACACAGGTACTAAAATGGACCATTTTAGACAGAAGATAAGAAGAACTACACATGAGGAAAAGTGTTGGGCTTTTTTTTTAGCATTAAAGCATGTAAACATATTGTAGTAGACCCCCCAAAAAATAGCATTATGAACCTGTAAATGTGCAGAATAAAGGCTCTTTAATGCAGCATTATTAATGGAAACTTAATGCTGTTGGGTGGAAATTTGAATTTGAATTTGAATGCAACGGTCTACTCTTTTCTAATCATTCTAATTTATGTTCATGTTGGAGTTCTTTAATAGCTTGTTAACCTGGAGCGTCCCGCAATCCAAATTTACAAAACATGATGCTGGTGTTTATTTTCTTTAGTATTTGCATACAGAGTTTTATCGACATCTTCAGATTAATAGAAGAATCCCAGTAGAGCACAGCAAGTAGCAGACCAACCAACACACTGCTGACCATTCAAGATGTGTTCATGACCAAGACACAGTGGTCATGTGGTAAAGAAGGGCATGACTGCAACTACTTTTAATGACTAACATTTATCTCCTTTTTTTTTTTTTTTTTAACTTTTTGCTGCCTGTCTGTGTTTTGTGATAGTCAACTAAATAACTTGTGGCTTTGAGCTGCTGGTTACACAAAACAAGACACTGCAAGATATTGATTCCTCGGAAACTGTGATAGGTATTTGTCATGCTTCTTTAACATTTAAAATGCGCCTGTCTGACATTTTATACAACAGACAGTTCAACAATTTTTTCAAGAAATTAATTGGCAGTTGAATTTATAAGGAAAACAGTTTTCTTTTTCTTCTCACTAAGATAAAACTATGTTTTGTCTTTGTGTGGAAAAGAAGGTATATGGGAGGTTTTATTTCTCTGCCTTTTATAAAGGTTATAATTATCAGTTATTGTTGAAACAATAGAGACGTGTTGAGTTAATGTTATGACAGTTCCAGCGGATAGTTTCTGGTGTATAATAAAGACAGTTAATTCTGTTGTTTAGCCTACCACTTGTTTAAATGGTGTTGAAAAATGAGAATATCTTTGGCTGCTTCCTGCCACTTTGTGACACCTCGTGTTGTCAACGAGTCTATGCTGCCATTATGAAACTGCTCCTGACATTTTTCTGCTTCTTTATTTCAGCAAACCTGTCAGTGTGTCCAGACTTTGCCTGTCGTATATTCTGTCATGTTTGTTTGTATTGTTTTAAGTGTGTGTGGAGAAAAAAAAAAAAAAGAGGCCTTGCTTTTCATGCACAGGCTTTGTCACGCTGCTGCACTGGTATCACTGAATCACTTCAGCAGAGCTCTGCTGCTTCAGGTTTTTTTTTTTCTTTTTCTTTTTCTTTTTTTTTCACGCTTTTCAATGTCGTCTCTCTCCCCGTTTGTCTCCGCTGCTTCAGGGGCCTGTTTGGGTAAGATTTCTTGCGTAACTCCCCATCCTCCAACCATTTGATTCAGTATCCATCTGCAGACCTGCACACAGCAGGCAGTCACACACACACACACACACACACACACACACACACACACACACACTCACCAGCACTGCTGACCTTCAGCAACATGACTAGGGGACTACATTTGTAGGTTTCATGCTAATTCCTTTTACAATCCCACTTTTCCGCAAAGTCAACCTGCTCCTCCCTTTCCATTTTTCTCATTCAGGCTCTGCAATTAAATTTATGTTTCAGCACTTCTTTGTGGACTCAGTTACAGTAGGTTATTCTGCCAAATGCACTCCGCAGGGATGTTGCAGAAAATATCAAGGAGGAGTTAGTTTATTGCGGTGTTTAACAGCAGAGAGGAATGTTTTATTGGCTGCAGATGCTTTTGGTTTGTGTAGCAGTCAGCACAACTGACATCTATGTAAATCATACAGATATTTGTATGCATTAAAACTTTAAAGTCTGAGAAGTTTGCTCTCCTGCTTTGTATATTTTAATTGAGTTGCATTAGTTGTGCAATTTCAAACCTTTGTAATCTAAAACCACATTTAATTGGATTAATAGATATCAGTACTTGTAATTGTGGTTCTGACTACAAAATGGCTATACATGTTTATTATCATCAGGTATTATTAGGTCTCTACCTTGATTTTCATTATTCAAAATGTGAATATCATTACTTCACCCAAGAGCTAACAATGTCTTAGAGTAGCCCTTTGAACCCCATGCTTTCCTTATCTGTCTCAATTTCACCACTATCTCCTTCCTAAATCTCCCCTTCCTTTCTCTCCTGTCTCCACAAAGCTCGACAATATTTAATCTACCTATTTCCTCTCCTTTTCTTGTCAGCTCCTCATCTACCTGTATCTGTTTTTGCCGTCCTTCCATCTTTTTCTCACCTCTCTTTGTTCCATCCTGTCGCTGCGGCACCTATCGGCTGGCGATTCAAAGATTACAGAGGCTTTGCTACAGCAGCACATAGCAGTGTTAGTGGAAGCCCTGCATTACTGCACCGTGTTCCAGTACATACTGTACAGACACACAGACCTGGAGCCAAGCTACAATTAATATGCAGACAGAACAGATGAACTCCGAGTCTCAGACGCTACGGTTACTGAATCAGACTCAAACTCACGAGGATTCACACTCACAAATTTAAATCTGTGTCGTGTGTATTTATGATTATTAAATCTTGCATTCAAGTGCTAGTTTCCCATCACATTGCTTTTGTTTACAGTTTATCTTAAGTCTGAAACGCCTTAAATAAACCTACTTTAAATAGATTAAGTGAATTCTAGGAGTTCTCTGAGATGTTATCAAACCGTCAGATGGCCATGTTTATCATTCGAGGCCGGACAACGGAAAATCACAAAACCCACCCTGCCTGTCTGTTTCCGTGTAGCTGCCATTTCCATCACATTTATGCCGATCTGGGCTATCTAATGAGACCGTTAATGTAAAGGTTGATGTTTGCATATCCCTGAGCAGAGCTGAGGAGCCAGGTAGGACGGCGCCTGACTTTCAAATCCAGCAGGATACACAAAGGAGAGAACAAAAGGGCCAAACACTAACACACAGATGTATTTAAAAGCCAAGGGCGCGGACGGGAACCTACAAATGTACAAACAAAAACACCTGCAAAGTCAGGAATGTGAATAATCCAACATAGTCATGACTTATCACTTATTTTCTAATGTGCTTCTCTGTTTGCAATGTTTGTGTTTGTGTTAGCTTGTGTAAACCATTGTCTCGTGTGTGTGTGTGTAGTGACCATGTGCGTCTCTATCCGTGAATGCTCCTTATCAGTTCCTGCCATTCATGAAATCTCCTCATGGGTGAATTTCAGCAGTGTCACTGCTGCATATTAAAAGACAAATATAATGGTACTGATATTTTGTGTTGTCATTCTGCAGGAGTAGACATTTTGATTAAATCTCAGTTTTTGCTCCCTCACTGTTATGAGTTGTGATTTTAATATGTTCTCAAGATGAAGGGAAATGCGCTCATTTTAGTACCTGGGCGTAGAACTCGTATAACAAAGGGGGGAAAGAAAGTTTTTACAAAATGTCTACTGCTGCAAAATAAAAGTCGATTTTAAAACTTGAGGTTCGTCTTTGATGAAGTAAATCTGATTTTCTGTTTCTCTCTCTCTCACACCCTTTTTCTGTTAAATTACGATCCTTCCTTTCCCCAACTTCAAACTTCGCCTCCCTTTCTTTGCCCTTATTCGTCCCTCTGCACCTTCCCTGACTTCCTCTCCAGTGATGGCGGCATGGGTCAGTCTCAGGACGACAGCATCGTGGGTACCAAGCAGTGTCGTCACAGCGTAGCCATAATGCCGATTCCCGGCAACCTCTCATCCAGCAGCCCGGACCTGCTGCAGCCGGCCACCAGCGTCCTCGACTTCTCCAACCCGGCAGGTAGGAAGCAAATGTTAAGGCAGTGACGGCAAGGGCCTCAGTGTGGACACAACTGTGAAATATTCTTCTACCGCTATTCTTTTTGTTGAAGTTTCAGACATTGTGGATAAGAATATCACCGTGTTTTATAATTATTTTCAATAATACACTGCAATTTGCTTGTCAACTTAAAAGATGATTCCAATTTCCAGTAAATTACTAAGATCAGGAAGCACCCTCATTACAAAGAGGTCAGATTTTGAAAGAAACATAGCAGATAAGCTTTCAATACACCCCTAGGTCAATTAAATGTATTAGGAAGAGATGGAAAACAGTCACATGATTCCATTGTTAATATCCAGACTCAACTTTCATCTACTGCACAAATGCACTCTGCGTGTCCCAATTCTATATTACCTCACCGCATTAATCGTCTCTGTGTGCTGTTTTTGCATTTGACTTACAAAAGCGTCAACACACTCAACAGTTTCACACAAAAGCAAGCTGTGACATTATCCTGTTACTACAAATGGACAAAAAAAAAAACGTTTTTCCTGAGATTTAACAGTTTATGTTGTTTTTCTTTTTGGTTTTCTGGGTTGTACGCTAAACTGTTTTACCACAATTTGTTTTAATAGCCTCCAGCTGTGAGCAGCTCCTCAGTTTCCTCTGTAGAACACACTGTGACACATTAGCGAAGGCACCACATACTAAAAAATCTGCTTAAAATGAGCATTTAATATGGAATTTGTACACAAATACCTTTTTTTTTCTTTCAGACGAGGGATTGTTGCTGACATCTTTGTGTCTTTTGGTTTTGGTTTGTTTTCAACCGGGTGTCAAAGTCCTGTTGTGCTGTTAAAGTTCTGGAGTTTTCTAGATCTCAGGAATAATATAGCATATCATGTCAATGTCGTTGTAGTAGAGCAAAATGACAAATCATTGCCCCAGAGAGGGAGAGTCTTGGCTGCTTATGAAATGTATTTAGTGGTTATTTTTGACATGTATCTTAAGAAAAATGACAACCTCAAATTTGTCTCTCACAGTAAAAGGAAGATGTTTGATTGAACCAGTCCACCCTCATGCAAACGAATCTCTTCTCGCAAAACTGGAATCCACATGATCCCGTCTTTTAGGTACTTTGGGTCTCAGGGAAGCAATACTTTTATTACATTTGTTTATAACTGTTAATGACCTCCGTGGCCTCAGTCATCGCTGGATATTTCAGACGTCTCAGTCACAGTTCAGGGTTTCCTCTTCTGAAGCTGTTTGTCACACTTGACTTGAGACCTCGGCCTCGTTGAGCTATGAAAGCCACTTGTGGAGTGAAGGACTCCAACGCTCGGCGACTGTACTGAGAGACGCTGAGCAAACAACCTCTCACCCTTGAGCACGATCGCGTAAAGCGTCCATATGAGAAGTGTAGTGTCAACTTAGTGAGTTTCTTTCTCCTTGAAATGCAGGAAAACTCCTCAAAACACTTGTGCTGACAAAGGAGCACATTCGCTTGCTCAAAGTGAACCCCACCAAGGTTTCTAGCGTCTTACACACATCCTGAGGTCTTGTGTTTTTGAGGTGTCACATAGCTTTTTGTAGAGCTGTGCCCGTCTGACAGGAGTTCACCTCCCGGACTATCAGAGTTTTTTAATCCTTTCCTGCCCGACGGGTGTCTGAGCCCGTAATTATTTAAACTAACATGAAGTACACACAAACTCCCTGTGGGCTTGTGTGGGTTATTTATGTGTGTGCAGGAAGAAAGATTGAGAGAAGGGAGGGCAAGAAAGGGAAAGTGGAAAGGTGAACGAGAGAGAGAGAGAGAATGTGGTCTTGATTTATTCCACCAGCCATTTGTCAGTGAGCTACACGCACTCAGCCAGACACACACACACACACACATACATGCTCCTGTGCACAAACCCTCTAGTTTGTAGACCTATACATCACATGTGGCTGTGTTATACAAGAGTACAAACACACAACTGTGCCACATTAATCATCCACCATTAGATCAAGTTTCCTTTAGTCCTCTGGCCTCCTATTAGGTTTAATAGTAGAGCACAGAATGGCCTCCTTAAACAAAACCTGCTTTTCCAGATGCTGTGCAGCGCTTGTAATACCCCCCAAAAAGTCCTACTTATAATTACATTAACAAGGAGATCTGAAGTGCGAATGTACCAGCATCTCTTTCCCTTTGCTCATGCTGGCCAACATTAGTATACACATGTGTGTTCTCTGTCTAGCTTTAGATTTTTTTTTAAATGTGTTTGTTGTTTTGGATTGAGTGTAGTTAGTTTTAATGGTTTTATACAACTTTTAGGCTGTTTTAAGGTGCTATATTTGATGAAATCTGATTGTAATCTAAGTGTGTTATCCATGCATATATGTTGATGTTTGGTTTTGTTGCGTTTTTGTGCTGTTAGTCTAAAATATTTTGTCTGCTGCAAGTTGTTGTCATTGCTGCATATGCCAGCTAGAACAGTTTATGTCTTAATGAGGCTTTCTTGGTTAATTGAGTGCCACTTAATTAGAAAACATTTGTAGAAATAATTAAAGTCTAATCTGGATAGATTTTAAAAGCGTAGTTTGTTAAATTTGTTACATTAACCAATCAAAAATATGTTTATACCAAATTACAAAATCTAAAAAAAAAATTATTAGGTTAAAAGATCAACAACATGTTTGGGCAGTTTCAACATTTTAATAATCAGATAATCATTTAAATCCTTTTTGCAAGGTAAAAAAGTAAATTCAAACCTCTGCTTCCTTCTTTGCATGTGTAATAGTTTGCTGTTTCTTTTTGTCTATTTTTTTCTAACATTCAGACAATCCGATTATTAATCAATCTCTGAAAAAGCGGAGCCTAGAAGTACATGTTTTCTTCAGTAGCTGCTGCTTATGTCTTGTCTCATGTTTCCAAAGCGGCGTTGTGTCTTCTCTGTGGGAAGCTTTGCTCTCAGATCCTTAGTTTCTTCTGTTTTAGCGTCCTTGTTTCTTTTTTCCCCTTCTACCATTCCCCCAGTCCTTTACTCTCTCTTCTTGCATCTCCCTCGCTGTGATTTTAAACAGATGTTTTTGTGTCGACGTGTTGAGTCATACTCTGCTTCTCTGGTTTCCCATGAGCAGATCAAGGCAACAGTAGAAAACTCCACTGGTCTTCCCTCCTTTTCTCTTCTGTCACGATGTTTCCAACCACTGTGCCTCCTTATGCTCCTCCCACACTGTCATTCACTCATTCACTGTGTTTTCTCTTTTTCTTCTCTGCTTGCCAAGCCCTGGGACTGTACTGTAAGTATAAATACTTTCACTGCCACTGTTTTGGTTGTGCTTCAGTAAATGTTCCCCCACAAAAGTCCCCTGCATCTTGATGTTGTTCTTCTTTAATTCATGAGCCCCCCCACTAATCTTTGCATCTTCACATCCATGAACTGCATCCTTCAGGTTCTGGTTTTGGGCCTTGAAGTGTGTTTTTAGATATTTTACTAATCATTTTGAGACATTTTAGTTGGTTTTAGTGCTTTATCTTAGAGGTGAAATAGTCGGGTTTGTAAGATTGATTTCTTGTCAGTCAAACAAGAGACACCACTCCAGCCAAAAGACAAAAATGAGCATGAAGGAATGTGGCACTTTGACTTCACTGTGTTTTTTCTGTTCATTTTTGAACAAAAACTGGCCAAAGAGACCACGCTTGTTTTGTAGGATGAATTCATTGTTGGTTTAACTCTCTTCAGGTCAGGTGGTTATAATAATAAAAACATCAAATAATACCAGCCTTATGCTCTAAAGCACAAGCTTAAGAGCATGTTCAGGAATTGAACATTTTCGGATTGGGTTTTCTTTCTAAGAGTCCCCTGTGTTTCACTCCAGCTACTGTACTCGGCTCTCCTCTCAGGACCTCCAGCCATCATGCCCAGCTCTCTTCTGCTCCGGATGCTTTCACATTTGATTTATGCCTTCCGATTGTATGATGGAGTGACTTGGAAAAGCTTTGGCAAACAGTAGAAAGGAAGGCGCGGAGGAGGAGGAGGAATAGGCTTGTGGGAAGTGTGCAGCCTCTCTTAGTGCTGTGTTTGCAAAAACACCATGAAGACTTTTTTGTTTTTTCTTCTTCTTATGTAGAAATCCTCTTTGGATTCAGTCCATCAGTAAATACTCCGGTGATGGTGAAAATGAATGATACTTTATTAAAGCTGATAATTGATTGGCTGTTTGGCTGGGTGGGCAGCGATTGTTCTCCTGTGTGCAGGTCAGGTCGCAGCTCGTCCAGAGGATTAAACATTATTAGGCGCCCCTCCCGGATATGATAGCCGGCTATTTATCTGAGGGCTTCCCACACTCTCATCACAAATCACAGCTAATGAGACACAAAGCATTTAGCTTCCAGTCACCCAGCTCTCACCACCCTGCTGCACATAAACAGAGAAGCTCTCTTCTGCTGCAGCAGCACAGAGGGAGGAGGGAAAGCTCGCACTTACAATTCTGATGCGGTCTTTGATTAATTGAAAAAAAATACAATGTTACTGTGCATATCTACATCTTCAGCATAGAAGTCAGCAATCGTTTGGCTGGCATACAAAGTGTATGTGTCCTGTGACTGAAATCAATAAGCTCACAGTCCATAAAGAGGTCATTCATATCTAAGAGAGGCAGCTCGTGCCAAAGCACCAACATGCCCTCATTCTAAGAAGCAGCAAATACAAAATAGAAAAAATATCTCAAAGCAGAAAAACACCTTTATGCTTGCTTTCAAGTAAAGCAATAAAAGCCTATAAATGTGCTTTCAAGGTACAGAAATAATATCAAATGTCATATAAAGTTAGAGAAAAATTTATTCTGAAACGCTCTAAAAGAAAATACATCAATACTTTCTTGTCAAAATGCCATACATTAATTTCACTTGCAAAGATGAAGCTGAAAGCAGCAGCAAACCCCCCTCCGCCCACATCCACCCCACCACCACAACATGCAGCTTCTTAAACAAATAGTGCTGATTGATTTTCTGCATTCACGCCAACAATATTGTTATTGGTTTTGCCTTGGGCAGTTTGTTTCTGCTTATTGCGCTGCTGCTGTAATGATGATAATAAAGGTGCTCACGCTTAAAGTCCCACACAGCCACACACAGATCAGAGATCCGTGTTAATGAAGGGTGGAGGTAATGACTTTGTGTCTTTATCTGTTTCTCTTTGATAAACAAGACGCAGCAGGGTTGTTTGTGTGCATTTGCTTTAATATGCATTTGAACAAAGTCATCAGTCAGATGCACATTTTATCTTTTCTAGACACCTCCATCTCATCATGATCCATTTGCAGCCTCTGTAGCTGCACGTGATCAAACTAAGCGGCACAGCACATGCATGCACGTTGCAGCTTTATGACAACTTCATCTGGTTGTCTGACTCTCTCTCCCCACTTGCGACTGCGCACCGTTCATAAGTCATTCTTTTAAATCTCTGGGGCTGCCTGTGGCTAATGGGCCGTACCCTCTTCCTTACTCAAACACAGGGATCTTTAATGCAGTGTTTCGCTCCATTATTTAACACACATCACACCGTGGAAGTCGCGTGCAGCTGCTCCGTCATCAGTAGCTCCATCAATCTGTAGTCACAGATGACATACAAGCTTTTATTTTTGGCCTAAGTTAAGCAATTATACTGTATCACACCTTTATGTCTATAATGCCTTGGAGTGGCATTGGATTAGTGGCTTTGTTGTACCGAATAATAGGCGTTCCTCATATGCTCTGAGTAACAAGGTGGAAGGCGTGTATTTCACTTTTAGCTCAAGTTTGATTATTATATGGCACTAAAACAAACCTATAGTCAGGGAACATGAGTAAAAGTAATCTAGAGATGACTCGAGATAAATGTGTAGCTTTCCAAGTTGAATGACAGGTTGATTGCTATGTTCTGCATTAATTCCAGATGCCTATTATTGCAGCTTTTTGCATGTATGCATGCATGTTTTTCCTCATCCTTTAAAGGTGTATTTGTCTTTATCTGTTTTGCTCAGGTTTTCACTTAATCTAATCCAAAAAGGCTGTAGTGTCCATGTTTACTGTGAAATCTGAGTGAGCTGTGTGGTGCCATTGGTTGAGTTGTGTCTATAAATATCCCAAGTGTCATGACAATAGTTGTTTTTGATGCACAATATGAGAACAATAACAGTCTGTGTGTTTTCATGTGTATATACTTAATATATCTTCCAGCCTTGCCTTGTAGAGGTCTATGACATATTGTAACTGCCTCTGACATAAAAAGTTCAGATGCTGTCATTAAATTAAACATAAGCACGTACAGAGATGTTGCAGTTAGATGAGAAGTATCCTCACAGCTGTGTGGCATCAGCAAAAATTGGCTTTATGTTGACTTGCATTGCTGCATTTGGTTGAAAAGATATTTTAGTAATGTTACAGGTAAATGCAAAATGTTGGATACTTTGAATTGCTGTTTTAAATTCAGGTTAGTCTGAAACCAGAAGCTGTTGAGCCTTTGTCTATTTGGATTTGTAACAGAGAAGCTTTGGCAGGAAAGAACGTCATCTCAGCAAGTCTGTTCACAGTGCAGGCCATAAGTCTTGTCAACTGAAAGCTCTTAATTATACAGTAATGAAAATTAAATTAAACTGCCTAAACTAGTGTTTTATTGTGTCATAGACTTCTTTATAATTAGCTGATTTCTTGCATTATAGGCATCCTTATACTTTTTCTGTGAACTCATCCAACCCTAATTAGTCGCTCACCGCTTTCCTCTTTCCTTTTTCTTCCACTCTCAGACATCCCCGACCAGGTTATTCGAGTGTTCAAGGCCGACCAGCAGAGCTGCTATATCATCATCAGTAAGGACACTACTGCCAAGGATGTCGTCGCCCACACTGTCAATGAGTTTGGTCTAATCGCAGCACCTGAAACCTACTCCCTGTGCGAGGTATCAGTCAGCCCGGAGGGAGTCATAAAACAGCGCCGCCTCCCCGACCAGCTCTCCAAACTGGCTGATCGGATTCAGCTCAACGGCAGGTAAGAAGCACAGATATTACTTTTGTGTCGGAAAATCTAATACCATGGACCGAGGGATGTGCCTTGGTCTCATGTAGTGGTTGTCAGTAGCTATTTCTCCAAAGCGAGTCCAAATAGTTGCAGACCTGAGAGTGTTCCTGTATTTGCAACGTAAATCACACATGACAACAAACAAGAATACTCTAATAAACCGTGAAGCACAATATTTTACAGGCAGGGAAGCACACTGGTCATGGAAAAAGGCATGGTTTTCTACTTAAATCTGATCCACAGTGGGGAATCTTGGACTGGAAAGCAGCTGGAAGTGGAACAGAGGAGTTGAGGATTTATATAAGTCTATGTCATGTTGAAGGCTTGAATGACTAAACCAAAGCCATGGCCTGTAGTGGTTGGACTCAAAGCCCAGAACCATGACACATGAGGGTTTTTCCTCCTTTTCTTTTCTTTTTTTTTTTTTAAGATTATTTCTGAGTTGTTTCAGATTACAAAAGTTCTCACAGCTCTCAGTGATTTATAAAACTACTGAGAGTTTTATTCTCTGAATAGATTTATAGCTCTGCACTGAACAAGAATTCCATCTAGTAAAACATCGCTGCCAAATTATTCCTAACACAGCAGCTTCAAACTTCATAGCATCCGCTTGAGTTAGGCTCTACAGGCAAGTCGGTCACGTACAATACGTATATAATGATTAAATTCTTCTAAAGAAGTGGTTCTCGGTCCTGAGGATACAGGTTCTGTGATGTAGTTAATTGGCTTAACATTGCCTGGCTGCATGGCTTGAATGGAACCCAGCAGGACTCCATTTGCTGAGGAACAGAAGTCAGAACCACTGTCCTGGTTCAGTGGAATGATGAATTAAGTGTTGATACCCCTTAAAAAAGCTGGAAAACTGTTTTAGTTGCTCCTCTGAGCAGGAAACAAGCTGCAGTTTGTCTTTTTAAAAAACTAAATCAGCAGTTTACAGGGAATTGCATGTGATGCTGGTTAAGTGCTGCAGTGATTTTTTTTAAATTCCCCAAAAAGTTGAAGATTCTTTCTTTCTGTAGGAACAGTGGAAAAGTTTCAACACTACTTGCTGTTTTTTCTTTCTTTCTTCTGCTCCAGTGTGTTTCTTTGTCTCTGGGTTTGTTTAAAATCTTAGCTCCTCTTCTTGATGCTAGACACATCCCCTTTCAAGATGAAAGTTAGTAGGACACGAAAGGTAATTTGACTGCAACCGTAGAGTCTGCCTCAGAATGACTTCTCCGTCAGTTTTTCAGTTTTCTCTCCTCGTCTCCTTTGGTCCCTCGTCGGTCCCCTCCCAACTAGGTTAGCATGAATTTTTCATCCTCTGTCAGGGGCGGAGGCCTCTGCAGACAGCATGGCTCGACTGGAATTATTCATACACACACTCAGATGCACACACAGGCACAAGATATAGATACAGACAATCACCTGCTTATACACAGGCATGCCTCTGTGCGCATATAGACCTGCAAATACTGCATTTACTCAACTGAGCATATTCGATTATGTACACAAGCTGAGGCAGGATGCACGCACATGAATTCTTACAAAGTAAATCTCCAACATCTGTCACACATATTCAGAAACACACATTTGAAGGTGCAAACAAGCAGTATTTATAGATGGCTCCTCTCCTTTATCTATTTCTTTACTTTCCGATTTTCTTCATATGTATCCTATTGTAGTTATTATTCATAATAAAATAAACAACCCAGTGTTTTTACATGTATACATATACCGTATGTCAGCAGAATGTACATGCCCCTTGTATTCAGCTCAGTTCCCAGTAGTTGTGTTTATCAGGAGCAGTAGGTAAATAAACGTCTGCCTGGCTTCTCTGCCTCTGTATCTCGCCTCCTCCGTCTCTTCCGTTCTGCAGCTGGTGATTGACAGGAGGTCTAGGAGGGGGCAGGCCAAGCCAATAGCAAGCCCTGTTCACGCTGCCAAAATACATATAGATGCAGCAAGGGGGTCTTGAGCTCGGCACACACACCGATACGCACTCCCACGCACCGCCAACGGCCATTTACAATGGCTCCGTTCCAGCGACTTCACCTCGCCTAGTTCTATTTAGCATCACTTTATCCATCATTAATTTAGACTCCTCTCTTCCAAAGTCTCCTCCTCCCTGATTTTTATCTCATTTCCTCACTTCTCGTTTTCTTTTGTTTCCTTGTCTCTTCATGCTCTCCTTTACTCAGATTGTTATTCGTCCTCTCCCTATCTCTTAACTCTACCACTGCTTTGTCTTGTCTCCTCTCATCACTACTCTTCATCTCGACTTATGTTTTCTCATCTCCTCTTTCCTCTCTCATCTTATTTTCATCTCCTCTTGTTCCAACTTCCCGTTCCTCTTCTCCTCGTCTGCTCCTTTCACCTACTGTTTTGGTGGAGATACAGATTCCTCTTCTACTTTAACAGCATCTATAGGTTCTTAGAAAAATCCTTAAAAGTTCTTACATTCAAATATATAAATACAGACTTTTACGTTTTCAGCTCTGCCCAGAAATGTTGCGATCTCTTTTTGAGCTTGACATATATTTTATCCTAAATGCAGCTTCAGCTCGATCTCCTTGCGGCCTGTCGGCGCTCTTCTGTCCAGCGTTTTCAGGCAGAGTAATAGAGTGCATTTTAGAGTTGCATCCATGCCAACACTTTACCCCTGAGGGTTGCCCACGCTTGGCCTATAATGCTCAGAGGTTGTGCATTCCTGGATGACCACTACACAGCTCCATTAGAGTGGAAGTGGGGGGTGAGATTTATAAACATAGAGGTGCATATTGAGGTAGGAGAGATGGCCCGCTGCTAAAGGCTCTCCCAGCAGAAAACTTGTGGAGATACAGCTTAAAGAGAAATCGCTCTTCTTCTTTCTTCTTACTCAGGCACCTGTCATCTTCCTTCCCTCTCTTGCTCTTTCTCTCTCCTTTACTGCAATGTAAAATATGACCATAATCTATCAACACCAATCCGTATCAGAGTATTTTTGCCTTTTCCTCACACTAATCTTAAGTTGGAGACAGAAAATGTGCCCATTTAAAATGAAATGTGACTGAGAGAAACATTCAAGAGATTTAATGTGTGCACAAAATTACAGCGCAGTGAAGAAACTGGATCTTGTCCACCCACTTGTCTGCCTCTGCAGCTCGTATTAAAGCATCTGAGGATACTGCAGATCTAGTACCTGCTGTGCTAAAAATACTTGGAGATGATATCACTTCTAAAGTCTTTAACATCCTGCATGTCCTGTGCTCTTTGTAATTGTTGTCAGTTAATTTCTCTCTCAGACTATAGACCCAAAGGCTTAGACACAACAATTCCTGGCCTCTTTTTTTCCCCTGTTATTAATGAGGTTTCTAAGGCATCATCCGGTTTTTACAATCAGCAAACTGGCTACAGAAGTCTGAAACTATTAGCAGTACAATGTTTTTAGGGGATATTCATGCTCCAGCTGTCACATCTTGTCCACTTTCCATCTGTTCATCCTCCCTGTAGGTACTACCTGAAAAACAACATGGAGACAGAGACGTTATGTTCAGACGAGGACGCCCAGGACCTCCTCAGAGAGAGTCAGATCTCGCTGCTGCAGCTCAGCACCATGGAGGTCGCTGCCCAGCTTTCCATGAGAGACTTTGAACTCTTCAGGAACATCGAGTCCACAGAGTACGCAGCTTAAGTCAACACATTCTTATGATCCTAATGACTTTAATAACTCTGGAAGCAAGTTCAAGGAGGAAAATAAGTAGAAACATCCCTACTGGGAGTAAAATGGTGCTGTACACAATTTCTTTTAACTTCTCTTCAATTGTTTTGACAGGTATGTGGATGACTTGTTCAAGCTCGACTCCTCCATAGGAAGTGGCAACCTGAAGCAGTTTGAGGAGGTGATAAACCAGGAGACCTTCTGGGTGGCCACAGAGATCTTGAAGGAGCCCAACACCCTGAAAAGGATGAAGACCATCAAACACTTCATCAAGATCGCGCTGCACTGCAGAGAGTGCAAGAACTTCAACTCCATGTTCGCTATTATCAGGTGGGCTTCCTGTAATTTCTGCCTCGGGTGTATTGTGGCAGTAGCATCAAAGACAGGGTTTTTTATTCTGTGATGACAACAAGCATTTACTCCGTCTCCACTGGCAGCGTTTGTGCCAAATGAGCTTTGGCGGCTTGTCTCCTTTTCCCCACATCCTCAGGAGAACCAACCTCACCTCATCCCCTCTCCCTCCCCTCCCCCTCCCCCTCCTCCTTGTTTATTGAATCAGCCCTGATTCTCCCAAACCGCACAGAGACTGCCTCTGCAGCATTTAAAACAAGAGTCCCATAGTTACACGTATTGTTTGTTGCGATCGCCGAATCCCTCTGGCCTCTGTGGTTTGGCTCTAGATGGATGTTAGACTGAGCTGAGGATGTTAGTGTGGCCCTGTTATAAAGGATAAAACCCACATGAGGGGAGGCGAGTCAGTGCTGCTTAATGTGATATGTTTTAAGGATGAACTTGGTGAAAGGATTGTTTTAAAATCCACCAGCATCTCCATGTGTAAGCATGTTTGTGTCTGCACAGGCGGTTGTGAGTGTGTGTGGCGTCATCCTGTATTGTTGTTACCTCAGGATCAGATAAAAATGTGTTCACAATTTCAGTTTTTAATTTCCTCCAGGACCCGTGAGGGTCTGCGACCTCAGGGCAGCTGCCCAATTAGCCCATTTGATCGTCGTAAAGTTCTTTTCCAGGACCACATTTGTTTTCTCTGTATTTGTTCCTCTTTTAAAGAAAAATCTTAAATTTCAAAGCAGTGTCTTTCAGTACTGGAAAAATTAAATAGAGAAGATGATTTCCAGATCCTACAGCTGGTTCTTATTGACCTTAGCTGGGTATTACATGAAGTAAAGAACAAACAAACACAACAAAAAAACAACATAACAAAAACCTATTCATGCTAATATTTCACGCTGAGGAATGCTCAAATAGCTTCCACATAACAACCTATTGATTTTTGTCATGTGAGTTGTAAAAGAGAAACAAAGATTACAACTGGAAGGATAAAACTTTCTTTTGTTTTGTATTTTATTACATACAGTAGCATAATTGTGGGGACTGTAATAATTTTAAAATAGTGTGTCATGCTCTCTCTTTAGCCTGGCCTGGTTGCTCTGCAGTTTAGAAATGTGAGCGTTTTCCATTGCAGTGTGTGATTTCCAATCTACAGGATGAATGACAAATTTATTTCTACAATATTTCTACAGCATAAATGGAAATATCAGTTCAAGAAGATTTAGTACTGCAAGACCTATCACTGTGGATGTAATATATTCTTGATTAATTGACGACGTGATTGCAGATTTTGCTGTACAGTCTCTTTTTTGTTGCCTGCCAAGAATAATTGTTAGCTTATCGCTTAAACAGTAAGCTGTGTGCACTTGTTATGTTAGACAGCACTCGTGTCTCCTTCCAATCTGGACTTGTAGTTTCCGAAGCCCAGCAGTATGTTGGTCCTCTGTTTGTGCCTGTAAAAGGCACTTTAGAGCAGAAGTGTCTGACCTCCACGTCCCTTTACACTCCTACTAGCAGCAGGACGTCTTGGCGCATATGGCTCTCTGATGCTTAACCCGCCTGGTGACAGGGGCATGGCTGGCGCTGTGTAGGTGTGTGTCTGTGTGTGGAAAAAATAGCACAAAGAGAAAGTGATAGAGATGATGGGTTGAGGAATAAAGTGAAAATAAAGCCAAATGCGCTCAGTTAGGAAGCAGATTTTTTATTTTTTTCCCCCCCACACAGATTGACCCACATTATCAGTTACTACAAAGGGACGAAGAAAGAATTTGCAAATCCAAAAATATACCTACCAGCAGCAGAGTTGGTGGGTGAATGAACAAAGATAATGAAAAAAAGAGAGCAGAAACACATGCTGTGCCAGTCATAATTATTAGCTGTCTGAATGAGTCTGCTCAGAGCTGACATTACCTCAAGAGGTTTTCTACTCCGGAAAATTGGGACTTAGTTAGGTTGAAAAGGCTTTGAATTTGATGTAGGTATTAAACACACCCACTGCCGCTATACTCCTTTCTCCTCGACTTTTGTTTCTCTTCACGGCTTCTTCATTTTTGCCCCTACCCTCCGTTTCTCTCGCCGTAACCTATTCATCTCTGTCTCCCCTTCTCCCCGCCCTCCTTGCGCCTCATTCCTTTCTCACACAGCGGGCTGAACTTGGCACCGGTGGCTCGACTGCGGAGCTCATGGGAGAAATTGCCCAGTAAGTACGAGAAGCTGTTTGGGGACCTGCAGGATGTCTTCGACCCGTCCAGAAACATGGCCAAGTACCGCAACGTGCTGAGCAGCCAGAGCATGCAGCCACCCATCATCCCGCTGTTCCCGGTGGTCAAGAAGGACCTCACCTTCTTACACGAAGGTAGAAAAGTGTGCGGAGAGCACAGAATGCCATTTGTTGAGTTTGACATGTCATTCTGTTCAGTTTAATGTCCCCCTACTTCCTCTGTGTTGTGTAGAGGATCAATTTCATGCTCTCTCAGGAGGTTTACTTCTGCTAAAGGCTTCCCCATCTTGCCTTTTTAACATACCACATTGAGTCAGGTCAAAACTACCCCCACAGACTTCTCCTTAAAGGTCTTGTCTTTACAACAATGCTTATGGCCGTGTTAGGAATGAAACAGCAAGCTTCCCTAATTGTGCAAGTTACAAATTGTCCACTGTGACTAAATATAAAAGAAAGACATGACTTTGATCTCCTGGAAGAATGACAAGAAAGAAACCAGAATAAGGGCATTTTAGCTTTGAAGATTTAACTTGGAAATGCTGTTGGAAACTGCGTGTTGCAAATGATAAATAAAATATGATATCATATAATCTCAATTACAGTGTTGACAGCTGACTCCGCGCTTAATTTTTGTGATTCCGCTCCGTCCTCCCAGGCAACGACTCCAGCGTTGACGGTCTTGTGAACTTTGAGAAGCTGAGGATGATCGCCAAGGAGATCAGACACGTGGTGCGAATGACTTCCGCCAACATGGATCCTGCTCTTATGTTCAGACAGAGGTTGGTTGTTGTGACACCACAGCTTCAAATAACTATTTCTTCTTAAGTTTTTTTGGTTTAACTCAATGCTGCTGTTGGAGCCAGTTTCACAAATATGGGTCATCTAAAGGTATTTTTAGTCACCAGTAATGAAATGAAAGCCCATACGTGTAGATTTGGATGTGATGATAATGTTAAATTGTTTTTATTAGGGTAATGTCATGATGTTGTAATTGTGGTTGAGAAATCATCCCAGGACACAGAGAAAAAGTAAATTTGCAAAGGGTGATAATCTCGAGTAAGTGGTTTAGTAAGTAATACAAAATCAGCACATTCCTTAAAGTTTGTACGTCTTTGAAACTGGCTCTTCCTGTTTCCTCTTAGCCAGACTGCAGGCAGCAAAAACTGACACTTCTTGGAAAAAGAATGCAGAAAAGCCCAGTATAGAAAAGTGTAATTCTAGATTTTAAAGAAAACTTAACTGCTAAAGACTACAAATGTTGGCAAAAAGGGAACCACAACACCATACCTCCACCGGCCAACCTGGATCCTTCACCAACAGGATCAGGCGCACACTCAAGCTCTGGTTCAATCAATTCTCATTCACTTCCTTTGTCCAGTTCATGGCTCTCCGTGTTTGGATTGCATTCCTGTCAGGGAATGTGACCACACGAGGACACAAGACATGGACTGACTGGAACTGAAGGTAGAATTGATGCCAGCTGCAGTGTGTAGTTCGTATCACTCAGTTTGTGTTTGTTTATCACAGTCTGTCACTGCTGCGGTGCATGGCTGCCCCCTGCAGACACTCCCGTCATACTACAAATCAGAAAGGATGCTCACAAGAAGACTTTAATTGTAGACATAAACACTGTATTTTTTTTATTTTTTTACATCACATCACATATGACACATGTTTGTGCATCACACACTCGTTATTGTTGTAACGGGTGTGTGATACACAAGCCATAACACAGTCTTCAGGTTGATATGGGGAGATGTCCTATGTCTGGTGTCCTCCCATCTCCAGTCATTTTCTGTTTGTTTGTGGTGGCATGACCTCTACATAGTCTTGTCTCCACCTCCTGCCCCCTGACCCTTGAACTTGTCTTTAAGTCACGCTTCAATCTTCACGCCTCTTGCTTGCAGGAAGAAGAGGTGGAAGAGTTTAGGGTAAGTTTGTCCTGGTTACCGGTTTCATCCCGTTTCGGTCTGGACCAGCAGAATTTCAATACACCCTGCATCCCCACCGCCATAAACCATGCATGTCTCCCCCTTGACTTTATTTGAGTGTACATGTGCGTCTGCCTGTGCTTCTGTGTGATTAACCCTTCCATTTGCAGTGGCCATTCACATGAACCATACTGAAGTCCATCATTTACCCATTAATTGTCTGCCCTGTTCATAAGTTCTATGTTTGAGTCATATAGTAGCTTGAAAAAATAAGCACATTCATATCATGACCAGTAGTAATGAAAATTGACTATCATTTTTAAATGACTTACATTTACTGCGAGTGCAGGTTTACATTTACTGCCAGTAACAAGTGCAGCTGTAGTCGAATAAAATGTCATTTTTTTTCTTGGAGAAAGGATCAAACAGCGAGAATATAAGACAACAAAACTTTCCAGTTTACGGCATGTGGCTGCATATATTCTAAAAATCTAAAAATCGATTATATGAAGGAAAAAGTAAACAACCTTTGGCAAAACAATCTCACCCCAAGGTCCATTTAGACTCTTCTGGAGCTCATATCATCAACTTTGCAGACAGATGGAGTTCTATGGTTTATTTGCCAATAAATTATAAATCATAGGTCATATTTGCACATTTCTGAGGACTTCCTCCCCAGATTGGCTTAAAAATCAAGGACAAAAGTTCATTCCTGAACTCAAAAGCATCAGTTTAGACAGTAATCTCACTTCCTACATTATGTTAGTGTCCTGGAGCTGTATCAACAGCTACGAAGTAGATTTTAAACCTTTAATGTCAATAAGGACAACAGTTCCAGAGAAAAAGCTACAGTTCTGTGGTGAAAGGTCAAATTCCATCTGCTGATGAAGTTCATGTAATATGAGTGAAAACTTCAGAAGAGCTGCTAAATAGACCTTCAGAGTGGACTGGTTTGCTCATTGCTGTTTCCAAAGTTAAAAAAAAAAGTTTGTTGAACGTCCGCTAAAAGCCTTATCCTGCTGCCAAATAAAGGTCCAAACAGACAGTATTTAGAGATACTATTTGACTCAGGTTTGGTGTTTGCTCATATCTGCATCCTGCCATAATATCCCCCATATCGAATAATGTGCATCTTTTGTTTCCTAACCCTTTTTGCCTCCATCTGACAGAATGTTCTGCTGTTCTGTACTGTGATAGCATGGCACACCAGGGAGTGCTGCCTCCCTCCCAGTTGCATGGTCCTGTTTTAAAAATGCTCTGCTCCAAAAACAAAGAGAGACGTGCAGATTTTATAGTAGCCATGGCATTTGATAAGAAAGTAATCCTGCTCGTTTTATTGGTGACCGTACTGATCTTTGTTTACCGTTCTTTCTTTTTGTTTTCTGTCTTTTTACTTCCATGTGCATTTCTTCTCTTCCTCCTTCTTTTACCTCCCTCTATTCTCTGGTTTCATCCTCCTCAATCTTCTCCTCATCAATCAATACCATTAACAACTTCTATCACCTCTTTAAATTCCTCACACATCTCTTTGACTCTTCACTTCATCTCCTGCCTCATTTTCTCTAATCTCCTCTTCCTCCCTACTCTCATTATTCTTCTACCTTTCCTTCCTTCCTCTTCTTCCCTCTCTCATCCCCTCATCAGGTCTTTGAGTCAAGGCAGCACCAACTCCAACATGCTGGACGTGCAGGGCGGAGCCCATAAGAAGCGAGTACGTCGCAGCTCGCTGCTCAACGCTAAGAAGCTGTACGAAGACGCTCAGATGGCCAGAAAGGTGAAGCAATACCTTTCTAACCTGACGGTGGAGACGGATGAGGAGAAACACCAGATCATGTCCCTGCAGTGCGAACCATCTTACAACACCTGTGAGTAGTCAACACCTTCAGTAGTTACCTGGTACACTCAAAAGCATCAACTATACATGCACATAAGCCCGTTAAGAAATGTAAAATCAAAGAACAAGTAACATATTGTAAAAATCAATCTTGTTCATAAGATGTGTTTTGTATAATTACATTTTTAGCAGCAAAAGCTTGAAATTATCGCCGATTAATAAAATGAAATTACAAAAAACTACTTCACTGGTAGAAAAGTGATGTAATATTTGTATTATTGGCTTACACTGCCACCTAGTGTGTTTGCAAATGTCCTGCAGAAAATATCAGTACAGATACCTCTGTGTTCTCTGCAGAATAAAGCATGTACACAATAATCTTTTTTCTCAGGTTTAGCGTAACCTAAGTGTAAAAATCTCTAAATTATCCTCAAGTCATTGTGCTGAAATACAATTTTTATTCATCAGACAACAGAATGTCAGTTTGTTAGCACTTTTGAATGTTTTGCTTTGAGTCATTTCAAGACAGATCCACTGTAGTATTTCTGCTTAGGTCTAAGATTCAAAGTAAAAATGATCAGAAACAGGATACAGTAAAAAAAAAAAAAAAAAAAGTCCAATATAGGTGGAGCCTAAAAGAATTGAATAAAGAGCCCAGAAAGATGTTTTAAAACTATTTTGTTGATTCCAGCATACATCTGACACATCTTGATGTTTATGTAAATCTCAATCTTTTATTATGTTGTAGTTTGTTTGGAAAAAATGTTTAACCTTGTGATAAAGGTTTGCCTTTACAACTATGAACTTTCCTGTCAACTAACACAAGAAATTAATGGCTGAACTGAGCAGGAATTGAACAGTTTGTTTGAAATTGAAAATCTCTGAAATGTAAACATGATCCATAATTCATTTTATTTGTACATTTTTGTCTATTTATTGTGGTTTTAGTGTCTAAGAACTTGAGTGAGAGGCGATCCACTAAGTCGGACATGTCCCCAGTGTCTCTGCGCTCAGCTTTACCTACTGGAAAAACACAAAACAGGGTGTCACAAGTCCTTCAGGTCCAGGTCCCACTGAACCCTCTACGAAAGAAGAGCACCGCCAAGGACATAGGCACGCCCAGTGAGTGCTCCACAATTATATTTTACTCAGTTACTTACTTATTTTGTTTTCAGAATGTCATTGTAATCAATCCATTTTCTATTTGTGTTGTGCATCCTTTTACTTGTATTGTACATTTTCATCGATTATCATCGACTGAGAGAGTTAAGCAGTAGCTAAGTGGTAATTAACTGCATTAATAGTCAATTTTACAGTCTGAGAGGCTCTTCATAAAGGTTAAGTGCTCATAAAACCTTGCCTATTCCGTAATTAGTAACAGTTCAGTGATAAATAGTAGCAGTAAAATGAAATAAGGTAGAAGATATAAAGAAAATAAATCTTCTAAAAAAATCTTACATAACAGTTATATGTGTTCAGATAGAATATATATTAAAGAGAGATATACAACAAAAAACACAAGAGATTAAACATGTCAGAGATTTAAAAAAAAATAAATAAATTAAAGAGGTGGCAATAGTAATAGGCTTTAAGGAGATCAACAATTTTATGTTTTAGTGTATTTTAACAGAGTTTTGTTGTCCATGTTAAAGCATGCTGAAATTAGAAAATTCTTAAGTGAAGTCACAGTATGTACAAATACTGGCTAACCAAATGATCACTGGCTCCATTTTTTGTTATTGTCTATCCAATATGGCGGACCAGCACCAGCTTGCTAGAGAAATAAAAGTTACTTATTTCAAAGGAGAGAGAAAATTTATCACTAAACATGTCAGAATGTAGTTGGTTCTCTTATAAAACAGAGAAAGACAACAGAAAACAGCGACTAAACAAAATGTATAATAAAGGTCAGTACTTTTACGTCACGAGGGAGTCGTCCTCAAAATCATTCAAGCAGTGACAGGCTCGTCATAGCCCCGAGCGCTTGGGATTACATTTGTGAACGCTAAACAGAAATGATCCCTGGTGGTGCTCGTGTCAAATACTGTTCTGTGAGCTCATACCATCCTAACATGTCTGGTTTCCATGTGCTCAGGTATTAAGACTAATTAAAGCCATACATTTTCTGCTTCTGTATATTACAGGTGTGTAACCAACTTCCAATTTAAGTTTACTAACTTTTTGGAACCTACTTCCTTTCTCTCTCTCTCTCTTTTTTTTCCCTTCAGACTCTAACTCTCCCCAGGTGGTGAAGAAGCCTCCAGTGAACTCATCAGAGGAATGGAGCACCAAGAGGCCATCTGATGACACCGTCTCCACCATCTCCTCCCTTCACTCCAGCCCCACGGTGTCGCCTCAGGGCTCCCCACGCAAAGGTCTGCAACACAAACTCTTCACCCTGTGTCACGCGGTGTTTTCTTATCCACTCGGTGAAACAGATACCTCCAGGCAGAGCTGTAAAACACTAACGATAATCTTACTGAGTTGCTCAGAAACTATGTCTGGGATGAATGTATGTAAAGGCTAGTAGTTGGTTTATGGTTGATAGTGTGTTTATTGGTTCCTGCAGACACACTGTCAGCAAATCTTAACTTTTATCCGTTCCTGTGGGTTTCTTTCTTTCAGTGGGAGGCGTGGCGAAGTCCCAGAACTCCAGCCAGATGAACTTGTCAGGATCTTCATCATCGCTGACCAGCGATGCCAGCACAAAGGCCGGCACCATCAGCCTGCGCAGCTACGGCATAGGTGGGGCTTTACTCCACAAGAGGATCCTGCTGATGACCAGGCAGCACAGCCGAGAGAGTAGCAGGGAGAGAGAGACAGAGCAGGAGGGAGAGGAAGAGAAAAGAACTGACAAGGAAAAAGAGGAGATGATACAGGAGGAGGCAGATCAGAGAGGCTTGTTTCCTTCAGGGCAAAGGAGAGGAAGATCCAGGCAGCAGAGCAACCAGAGTGCACAGGCAGATGAAAGGAAAATGTTACTGAGAGTTAGAGCAGGAAGCCCAAAGCAGGAATGGACAGGAAGACATGGGGGACAACCCCTGGGCCACACTGGATCTCCTCCCTGTCTACCTGGTTTGGTACCCATGACTCTTTCCCCCACTAGGTTAATTAGACCCAAACCTTCAGAGTCCCCCATCAGGACAAGGCTGACGTCACCATTCAGGGTACTGAGGGAGAGGAGTCAGTCCAGGGAGAGGCCAGAGGCAGTCAGGCCACATGTGAGGATCGAGGAAGGAGCAGGAGAGGTTTCACCCTTCTCAGTTCAGGATGAGTCAGAGCAGAGAGCCAGGAGGTCGGTCAGCCCGAACCCTTTTCTTTGGCTGTGCAGAGACAGACACAGCAGGAGAAAGACTGTCTGACAGATCACTGAGCCAGTTACACTAGAGACAGCGAAGTGAAGGAAGATGGGAGCATTTAAGAGAGACTTTGTGTTGACGATCAGTGACATTTATTTGAGAATCTGTGGCTCCTTAAAATGATGACACATTTCATTTTTGTGCCAAAAGTGTTGCTTGAGATACAGGAGCCGCCATGAAATCCAACATGAGTCAGAGAAATGCTTAAGAGTTTTCACAGTGAATATTTGAGGAAGATGATGTGGCGTAGATAAGAAAAACGTATCACATCTGAGGCAGTAACAACAGATGAGTTCTCCTAACATTTTTTCACTTGTGTGCAGAAAACTGTGAATTTTTGTAAAAGTTGCAGTGTCCCTGAACAGCCAAATGTCAAAGCAGGAGTTATATTCACTTGAACTTTAAATGTATTTTCACACACACAAAAAAACGACAGATGTTTTCAGTCCTTTTGTGTTGCCAAGTGTAGGTTTTGTTATGTGACTTTTCTTCTGTTGCATACAGCATTAAATCACTGTGTTCAGTTAGTTTCCCTGCAGTCAGAGTCGGTTCTGCAGGTTTTTGTAACATAAAGTTTAAATTGTGACCCCAGTAGTACGTTTCTCAGTGATTTCAACACAGTTCAACACTTAGCTGTTCAGCTTCACATTATGAGTTTTCACAGCCTCACAGTTTTCAGAAACCATCAGCTGTACTTGTTGGCATTAATCTACAGTAATGGATGTAACAAAGATGTTTTAGATTTGAAATTGATAAAGAAGGGCTTTTTTGATTGCAGAATGATTTATAGTGCAGTTATTGTCTTAAAAAATGATAAGACATTTGGGTAGAGCTATGCATTACCACTGCCTGGTTTTCTACTGATACTTGGTGATACTTGCTGGTCTTTTCCTTATTTTTTTTTAATGCATTTTCCATATTTACATCCTCCCTCCATCCTTTACATTATCTTCTTCATCATTATACGAATCAACATTTTACTTCACCTTCAAATTTAACCCTCTGAAATGTTCCCCTCCCCAGGCTATGCCCTCCTGCCAGCCGGTAAAGCGGACAACCTGTCGGACTCGAGCCACAGCGAGATCTCCTCCCGCTCCAGTATCTGTTCGGTGGACTCGGTGCCGGCCCCCGGGCTCGACGACCGGTGTAACAGCAGCAACAGGACCTGTACTACTACTGCCACTATTGCTTCTACGACTACTGCTACCACAGCCGCTGCGGTTGCTGAGAGCACAGCAGCAATGAATGCACATTTAAATGCTGATTACAGCCAGCCCAGCACAAGGTAATTATCTTCAGTTCAGCTCAGTTTATCTAATCTGTCTGGTTAAGGTGGTTACTTAATGTCAAAAAGAGGGCATCAGACGTTGAGTTTCTTAAGTGCTTTTGTTTTGTAGTCATGTTGGAATGAACACACTCTCTTTTTGCACCCTGACAGAACAAGAACATCTTTTGTGGTATTTAGATCATAAAATCGATGGTCCAAAGGTTACCGTCAGCTTTCTCCATTGTGATTTTTAAATGCTAAAATCACAGATATTACAAATGTGCTGTACAGTGTTCAACAACTGGGGCCTGTGCTACGAAGCACATACCCAGGACATCTTGTCGTTATCTGTCTTCACTAAAGCCAATGACTGCTGAGCTCTTACGTAAAGCTTGTTATCAACTCAACTCAGGGTTTCTGAATTTAGCTATTCACATAAAAGGGCTAGTGCTGGCACCAGATGGCCAATAACAAACATGAACAGATTTTTATTTACAAGAACAAACTATTATCCTAAACCAATACAAGCAATTTGAAAAACATAACACCAACTCAAAGTAACACAGTTGCTGCAGCCAAAGTCAGGAAGAGAAGCCAACTGTGTGAATGTTTTTTTTTTTAATTACTTTTTTGGCCTTTTTGCCTTTACTATATAGGACAGTCAAGAGAGAGACAGGAAAGTGGGGAGGAGAATGGGGGAAGGAATTACAGCAAAGGGCCCGGAGCAGGATTCGAACCCATGGCTGCTACATCAGGGACTATAGCCCCTGTACATGAGTCACCAGCTCAACCAGTTGAGCTATAGTGAGAATGTGTAATTAATCGGCTTATCAGTATCACTGTTCTGCCATTAAAGCACAAGTTGATCTGGATGTAAATCCATTGCACAACTGTGTAAACGTTGTTTGATATAGGTTTGTTATTTAAGATTTTATTCATAATTTAGTTTAATTATTATTTTGCATGACAAGATTATATAGCAAAATAACAAATGTAGTCACTAGAGGATCCTCACAAAGAAATTGTTTAAACAATAAATAATAAAAAATAAAACAATTTTTGTGGTGAAGTATGAAGGAATTCACTCTCACATGTAATCTCATTCCGATGGCATATAAGGTCATTTTAGCCTTGGCAACCTTGGTAGTGTTTAACAGTTTTAGGAGCAAGTAACAAACTTTGCTTTTGGTGCTTTTTTGCACGTTGATCAGTTATCACAAACATGACCTGCTCTGGTTTTGGTTGGATCTATAGCTGAAGTTATCACGCTGATGTACTCAAAATTCAGACTTAAATGTTCAGCTACCTCTCTAACCCTTAATCCTGCCTCATCGTACAGTCCTCTGCCTCTACTGCTCAGGCATGTGAACAGATCGGTCAACTTTTCTCCACTAGTGAAATAAATCTTGTCGAAATGGTAGGATGTGAGATATTAGCACTAAAAAACTACATGAATTACCAAGTTGAAAAGTTTTTTTGTGTGTGTTTGTGTGTGAGGGTACAAATACACACTCAGACAAACACTTTCTTTGTCTAATCTGTCTGGACACCTGCTAGCTCATATCCCACCCATACCTCGGCTAGAAGTTATTCAGCATGAGAGTGAAGACACAGGACAGAAGTCTCACACAGGTTCAAGATTGAGAGTGCCAAAGCATCCTTCGTTAGAGGTCCAGATGCTAGACAGGGTTTTTTTTTTTTTCTCCTCAGGCCTTGAACCACCCAGATGCACAAATCCATAATTATCAGAAACCTCCCCAACATGCGTGAAAAGGCACCACACATCCACCGTCTGCTATCTTCCGCCGCTCCTCTCCCAGCTGGATTCCAATTACGTCCTCTCCTCATTAAAACTCAGAGCACAGGAAGTCGTAAAACGCAGCAGGTTTTTATTATCATCCCACATTTACTGCCGTCCTCTCTCCTCCTTTCTCTCCGTTAACAACGTATCGGTTTTCACGCAGGCGGCTTTTTAATCTGGCTGAGTAAACAATGCCGTTTTTTTTTTTTTTATATTGTGCGCTGTTTGTTTATTGTTCCTCCATGATCAGGCCATTCTGTCTCATAAAGAGGAGACTTTTAAAATATCGCCGGACGCAATAACCTCTCCGATGTTATACTACCGGCTCGGCATCCTTGCTGTGTAACTCTGAACTGTTTTATGAAATATGGCTCGGTTTCATTGAGTGGCTTGTTTGTCCAGTAAAAACCGTGTCAGTGAATCAAACTGCTGATTTATAAAAAAAAAAAAAAAGAAGAAGAAGAAAAAAAGCAGCCAAGGAGAAAAGCTTTTTTTTTTGTTTTTAAGTCAGGTGTTGCGATCTGTCAAGCTGGCTGTCGGCTTTTTAAATTGTGATTTTGCAGAGAGCACAGATAGGGCATGGATGGCTGAACATTTCACAGTAACAATATTTCATAGGTGGAACAACAAAAACATGACAAATCCTATTTTCATTCGTCTTCCCTTGTTGGTGTTTTGTTGGTGACTCTCTGACCCATATGTCCTCCAGCCAACAGGGTTTTATAGTTACTCAACCGCCTCCTTTGCCCTCCATCTTTCCTCTATCTTCACTGTCAGTTCATTTCAGCTTCATCTCCACCTTTACAGCCATTCAGCAGTTTGATATAAACTTGTGTCCAACATTTTTCACTTTGCCTCCCTTTATTTCTTTCTTTAATACTTTTAGACTCAGTGTGCATGTGTACTTCTCACCAGCTTCTCACCTCCTGTACCTCTACGTTGCAATCTTAGCCATCTGATTGAGTATATTTTGAATCGTGTTCTGTTGTCGATTGTATCTTGATGTGTTTCGAGGATCTGGTTTATTTGTGTGAAGGTTAGTCTGTGACATTCAGCCACCCAGTGTCATTTCTATATCAACTAAGTTCTCAGATACCTCCCAAAAGTCTCTGTGGACACTTGCATTGCAGCGCAGAACAACTTGATTCAAAAGTGAAAAAAAACTCTTGGACATTGTCCCACCAACTGCTGGTATCATGAGTCAGTAAATCAGTCAAATGAGAAAACCATCATCCTGATATTTTTGTAATTTGAAAGGCCTTTTTTTCTAATGAAATCTTTAAAACAAAGTTATTCTATGGACAGCGTGAGTCTTTTAGAATCAAAATAAATACGTATGTTGAAGTATAAATTCAATTAAAACATGTAATGATTTATCTGAAACTGAAACTTACACAAAAGGCATTAAATAGGTATTCTTATAAAAGCCAAATAGTCAACAAGAATAACAACTCTACTAAATATGGTGAATATGCACAAAAATATGAAGGGAAATATACCTCTGTGACCTCGAAGTGTTTCATGTACCAACATAGTTTTTGTGGTCCTCTGATTGGATAAACATATACGTGTGCATTGTACAAGCAGCTCAGCATCAGTGAGTGAGACAGTATTCAGTAGTTTTTCTCTTTAATGCAAGAAGTTGCAACTGAGTTACCTCAACATCTTTCATGAAACCGGTTTAGCTCCTGGCTGCCTGATTTCTCTGTCTGATCAAAGTTAGAAGATGAAGCTGCAGTTCCTGCTGTCAGACTCTCACTTTGATTCCAGTGTGTACCTCATTAGTACATTGTGCATCACTGCATTGTTTTTTTCATGTTACTGACAATTTCACACTTGATGCAAGAAGGTAGTGATCAGATGTCTGGATACCTTTTTCCAGTTCTGCTACATTTACATCAGTTCCATCCAGATGTCTGAAGTACAGATGTGATTGTTATAGTGTTATTCAGCTCAAAAGCTCATCATCTGTTCCTTTATGTCTTTGTTCCTACAGTAATTCTTCACCGTCGGCTCGAGGACACGTAACGCGAGCCTCCACCTTCACCTCCTCCATCTCGACGGAGGAGCTGACCCCGGACCACACCTCACTGGACTCGGTGGCCGACAGCGGCCGCGGCAGCTGGACGTCCTGCTCCTCCAACTCCCACGACTCCTTCCAGAGCCTCCCCCCCTCGTCCTGCCGGCCCTGGGACCACGGCATCCACGGCCACCCGCTCGCTCTCCCGCACACACACCTGGGCGGCTTCAAGCACACGCAGCTGACCCGGCCGATAGCGGAGGTCGAGGCATCCGGTCCGGCCTGGGCCAACGAGGACTCCTGTAAGCAGCACTCCAGAGACTCCAGCTCAGATCTGTCCAATCAGTCGCGGCAGAGCTGGGCGTCGTCTAGCTCGCTGTCGGACACCTATGAGGGGAATTACAGCACGATAAAGCGGCGAAACACCTCGGAGCACCCCTCCTCGCCGGCCAACGAGGAAGGAGGGCAAAGCACAGACCCTGCCTACAAAACGGTGACATCAAGCACAGAGAAGGGCCTGATAGGTGAGGGATCAGGTTGCCAGTTTGATTCCCTGTAAACAGAGTGTAGCAGTGGTTGACTCTGTTGTGTGTGAGTGCCTGTAGAAGGAGATGCGCTTATGGAGGTAGTTCCAGTAGAAAATAAGCTTTTCCATGCTAGACTTTGTTTGATAAGCTATACTGAGTTTCTTGAGTCATGCAGCAAGACATCAGCTTTTGCTTAATCGCTTTTGATGCTGACTATCAAAAGAGTTGCTCATATTTTATATTCCACTTACATGCAGTCAGTGAAGTTAAGTCTGCTGTTGCTTTAGGTGAACTACCGCAGCTTTTTGGTGCCTGACTTGACGTTATTCTCTAGCGAACAGCTGGCAAATGCTGCATTCTTTAGGTCTGGTACTAGCATCTGAAACAGATCGCATTCTTGTCGTGGTAGTTCTCAGGCTGACAGAAGGTATGGAGGATGCTTCATCAGCCAGAGTGTAAATTTGTCTTCTGGATCTCCTGCTGTAGTTTTATGATAAACTGTAAGAGTTTGCAGTTTGACAGTTTTAGGAAAATAACTTTTTTTTTTTTTAGTAATTTTAGACAGTTACAGAGTTGCTGCGGAGGAGTTCAGATGGTGTCACATTTACAGCATTTAATCAGTGGATTGGTAGATGAACAAACTGACAATGATTTTGATAATCGATTAATCGTTTCAGTCAGTCACTCTGCCCGCATCACATCAAATGTGAGAATTCGCTGTTATTCAGTTGTATATTGTTGGAAATTCATATCTTTAGCTTTTGGACTGTTACCATGGGCATTTTTTTTTTTTTACTCTTTTTCACTGAAGAACCAAGCGATTAATCGATTCATCCAGTAAATGAATCCAAGTAATCGATGATGAAAATAATTACTAGTTGCAAGCTCTAGTTCTGTGTATCCGCTGCAGCCATCCATCTCATTTGTTGTATATTTTTCTTTTAATTTTCGACACGTTTTGGTGCATGCGTAGTCGTCTGTTGTGTTAGTAAAACACCACATTGATTTAATTTTTGCATTATTTTTCTTTTTGTTTCTTCCCCCCTTTTACACAACTTCCCCCACACACCTCCTTCCCTGGAAACTTTTCTTATCCCTCGTCACTCCCCATCCGTCACTCCCCCCTTTCTTTGCTCCATCCCTCTTTTCTTTTGATCTTCACCACCATCCAGTGTACTGTGTCACCTCCCCCGCCAAGGATGAGCGTTATCGAGCTCCCCCTCCCACCCCTCCAGGCTACCAGGGTCTGGCTCTGGGGGATCTCGGCCTCACAGACGGAGTAGTAGGTGGGCCAGGAGGTCTGCTCCCCAGGCCTCCTCACCTCAAACCTCCGGACTACAGCGTGGCCCTGCAGAGGAGCAAACTCCTGCAGAGCCCCGGAGCGGCTGGCGGTCTGGCCGAGGCTCGGAGGCTCGCCGGCGCCCTTCACCTCCAAGACGCCCGGACTGCCGGCTCAACGCAGGGCCACTCCAGACCGCCCAGCATCTGCCTCCCACCACAGGATCTGGCTGACAGCGAGGATGGTACGTCCCCACTGGATGCTATAAAAACAAACTGTTGGCCCTCCTACTGACAACACACGTCTCTCCTAAATCACTTAATTCATATTTTATTTATACGGCACTGTGCAGGTGTGAGATGCTTTATGGAAGCTGTGTAAAGAGATATACGATGTCCACAAACTTGTTAAGAAAAATGTATAAAAACAGAAAATCAAGCAGAGTCACCTCAGAAAGGATTACAATATCACATGAGTAAACGCATTAATACAATATGATTCAATTTAAAATCAGTCAAGAAAAGAGAAACACGTCTTTAATTACTGAAATGGTCACGTTATGTCTTCAAGTTTGACTTTAATTGTAAATACACTACAACAGCGTTACTTGATATACAAAGACATAATTAAAAACAGGACAACATGTAAATCTGATTTAGGAAGACAAACTAATAGTGAAAACTACATTTTATGAATCTCTTTAAAAGTCTTAAAAAGCAGTGAATTTGTTTATTTCTGTTGTTTATTTCTGTATGACTTGAAAAAAATGTGAGTGTTTACGACATTAGGTAAAATTCATGTGTAGATACCCAATTCTTAAACTTGATTTCTCACCTGAAGATCTCCAGAACTGTGTCTCACGACGCAGCTTCTCGTTTTGTGTCTTGTATTTTGGAGTGATGATAATGTCGCTCGTATAGTTTAGGATGTTTTGTCGGTATTAACATTTAGTCTCGCCTCATCCATTGCTCAAAACACTCGAGAGACAGTAAGAGTCACTATAGGATCCAGGATGTCCTCTTAGGACGAGAGTAAGGAAAAAAGATATTTTTAGGGGTGACGCAACTGGAAATAAGACAGTCATGTGGATAAATATGTCAATCGGCACAGGTGTAGGCATTGTACATAGACATTCATAGGGGCTTCTGTGTTGTGTTCATGCTATTTACTGATGGTGTATTTTGCAGCTGTTAAAAACTTAAATTTACAAAAGGCTCAGATATTTTCTGGCTTGCTGTGTAGGCAGTAATGTTAGTTAGAACATGCTTTTTCTCCTGTTGAAGAAATTATAATTATAAACTGAGGATGTGATTGTTTTGGCAACTTTTTAATTCTCTCAACTCCAAGCTGCAATTTTTTTTTCTTCTGTCACCTTTGTACTCACTGTTGGATCATCATCCACTGCAATGTAGAGCTAGAAGTAGTAAGTTTTGATGCCATAAGTCAGTTTTTAAAAAAGAAAAGGAAAAAAAAATAATATGGGATTTATTGAACTACTTATTTAAAAAAAAAAAGACAGAAATCTGGAATCAACATGAATAACATTTTCCAAAGTTTCCCAGGTATTCCTAGTCATGTAAAAATGGTGACTCTGCAAACTATAGATACGGTAGTACTTACATATTTGTTGCCACGCTTGTCTTGTATCTGCTCGGTGCTGATACAGCTTCCAGTTCAGATGAAAAGTCACTGAATTCTTGTTACCTAACTGTCGGTCACAGCTGAGACAGTCAAGGCTTCTAGGTTGCTCTGAGAGGTACAGAATTTGAAGTTTTATTTCATCGAGTTAGATCAAATGGGTATTGATTGCAGATGAATAATTCGAGGACTGTTAGAAAGTTGGAAGTGCTGCTGTTACTGGTTCTAATAAACGGTGTGATTTTGGCGAAGATATTAAGAAGCCACGCCTTTTAAACCTGCGGGAGGGTTTTGGTTTTCAGAGGGTTGATGGAGTTTCATTCAGCACCATGAGACCTTAAACAATCACTGTCAACCACAGCCCCAGGAATTAGGAAGTTTATGGGGTCATAATGGCCGACAAAAACCTCAGTTACCCTAACCTAAATGAACGAGTTATTTTTAAGACAGTATTTATCCAACCATCAATTTTCTGCCTCTTCTGAGTCCAGGTCCCTTTACTTATATTGTTAGGTGTTATTGTTATGTTCTGGTACTGAAAAGATGTGACACAAAAGTACCTTATTCTGGGTTTTATTGCTTCTTTCCATATTGAATTTCAGATTTCAGTATTGTGATGAAACATAAATTTTACTTCTATAGCAACTTTCAAAACACAAAATACAAAGAATACACAAAGCATTAGATAAACGTTAAAAAAAAAAAAAAACAATCAGTAAAAACATTGCTCAGGGATATTAAGTTGTATTCCCAAAGTCTTAAAAAAGTCTTTGTAATTTACCGTTTTGAAAACTGTTTTTCTCTCCTCTCATGCAGATGAACAAGTGTCAGCGGTGTAAAAGCGGCGACGTCACACACACACACACACGTTCTCACACGCGGACCAAGTCGTGTCGATCAGGCTTCGGACTGAGTAGCCGCCTGTCGTCATCACATGTCAGAGCACATCCTCTAAGCCCCGCCCACCCCGAACCCGACCGCCTCGGGTGGCGTGACCTCTCGCCGCCTCGCAGGACTTCACACTCCGTCACCTCTTTATAAACCCATTTCACAAAACAACGAAGAAAAGACGGAAAGATTTTAGACACTTTTTAAAAACTCTCCGACAGGCGGTGTGATGGGATCACATCGCGGCAGACGCATGTCGGGGAAAAAACAAAAAAAACAGAAGGAAAGAGTGACAGTAATGATGCCTCATGAGAAGAAGTCGACTTCATCGGAAACAGACCACCGTGTACCTCCATATTTTGCGCTTCGAGCTCTCTCATCTTAAGATGTTTCATATTGTTTTAACAGTTTAAGATGTTGTACAGTGATCTTTTCCTGCTTTTATTCTTTTGCAAAGTTTGTTTTCCCCTCTTCTTTTCAGTTGCATCTCTGAGCTTCGTTTTTATGTGAGAATTGTGAGGAGGAGCAGACAAAGGGACGGGAAGTTGCAGTCACTAGTGGAGGATTGCAAGAAAAAGAGCTTGTGGGGGATTTTTTTTGTCGATGTTGTTTTATTTTTAATGTTTGCTTAAAAGAAGATGAATGTAGATGAACAAGAAACAAGAAAAAAATCTTCTCTTTTTGTGAGGTCTTTATTAGCCCTCTGTTGAACCCTGGCACTGATACATTTGCTTCAACACCACAAACAAACCAAATGCACACATAGAAAAAACAACAGCTACAATCCTTACACTTTTGACTGGTCAGAAAAGCCCCTCAGGAGCCACTAACAGCCAGTTTTTCACTTCCTTTAGGTGGCGAAAAACAGAGACATTAAACTCCGGAAGCAACAGGAAGCACGTCTGTTTGTGTTTAGCACTTATTGTACTTTGCTGAGCTTTATAGAAGAAAAAAAAAAAAGACAAACAGCATCTCTCAGGCAGATTTCGGTGTCTCCATGTCGCGCTCAACCACCACCACCACCACCACCCGCCTCTCTTATTGCTCGTTCAGTCTGACGTGAGGTACTTTAGCGGCATGCTGCCTCCTGGATGTTCTATAAAACCTGTATTGTAACTTGTTTTTAATGAGCTGAAGAACAAATGCCTTGCTGCTTCCCGTAGAGTAAAACGCGTGTTGTTATTTTATTGCAGCAGCTATAATAAAACGATAAATTAGCACTGTGCAGCGACACGGTGTGCATGCATACACACACACACACACACACACACACACACACACCAAAAACGTAGCCGGTGTGCATAAAGACAAAGGACAGTGTTTACACCGATGCTTACACGTTTTGTTTACAGTGTTTATTAGACTAGTCGTCTATCGAATTACAAGCTGGAATGTTACAAAAAGTATAACGTTCCAGGTTCAGTTGACCTTGTAAATTTGTTTATAAATGCAGCGGGAGTATGCAGATGCAGCATAAACTCTGACCCTGTGCTCACAGTGTACCTCTCTCATCTCGGCTTCTTATTTAAAAAAAAGAGCAACGAAAACAAGTCGGCGGATAATGTGTTTTAACGCCCGGCTCCGCGTCTCCATTCCATGTTCATAGTATATTTTGTAGAATATTTAAAGGATGTGCTTGAAAAACAAAAAAAGTTGTTTATTTGTATTGAACGCGGAAGCAAATTTGTACATTCGGAAATGTCTTTTTGTGTTTTTCTGCGGTTCGGCAGGGGCGTAACTGGAATTAGACGTTCTTCTCCTTCTGCTGTTTGTCTCGCGCTCTGTGATGCTTCTTGTTTTGTTTTTGCCACACAAAGACTTGAAATGATTGATGCTAATATATACATGGCATATATATGAATTTATACATATATATTTTTGTTGTTTCTTTGCCATAAATTAATGTTATCTGATCATGTATAGGTGAGAGAAGAGAGTCCTCTATAAAGGCTATTTTTGAATATTTTGTTATAAGAAATAATCCGAGGTTGTGATTGCCCTGCTTCTCTTTTTTGGGGGGGCAGGAGTCTTTAACGGAGTTTCTGTTCGTTCTTGTCATTTTCTCCCCTCACTCTCTGTTGTTGGTGCCATTTCTGCTCTTTGAGTGTAATTGCTGCTGTGTTTTGGGATATGGCGGCGCGTGAGTGTGTGTGTGTGTGTGTGTTGTGGAATTGTATTTGTGAGGTTGGGATCAACATGTTTTTTTTGTTTTTTTTTTTAATCCCATTTGATTCAGACTGGGGATGCAGCACATAAAGAAAGGCTCAGAAGTCATTTTCAACAAAAGCCCTTCTTAGTTTGCAGTTTCGCTTTGATTGCTTCCGCCTGCAGAAAGGTGGACCCCTCGTGAGTCTCTTGCCGCCGCTTTCATGGCGCGAGGCGAGTTCATTCGAACAGCGGGGATGATTGAAAGGATTTTTTGATGCCATTATATCCCCCGTCTGTTTGAATTGAACAGAACGAGCTCTGCTGTGTAGCGCGCAGTCGCTCCCTCAGCCCTGTCAGCTAGGCAGGACTTGAAACTTTCAACCTTTCTCTGCACTGTACTCTTCTAATGGATTTCATTCTATAGCTACTATTAATCACGAATATCCACTGTGAGCCCTCCCTTCACTCCTTTTTTTAAAAAAAAAAACATTCTCAATAATAGAGACTTTGAATCAGACTGACAGTTCCTTTTTTTTTTTTTTGCACAACTGTACTCCTCAGATTCATAACCACAAATCAGTATTAATGATCTGCATTGATTTTGTTTTCTTAAGCAGCATATGCTACTTCCAACAGTTTGCCCAGATGATATGAATAGTTAGGATTTTAGTCAGAAATCGGCTCTATATTTTGACCTGCTTGTTGAGTTTTTTAACTCCTAACTCTCTCTGCTCTTTCTAAGTAGTTGTTTTTTCTTCCTCGCAAAATGCAGAATATTTTTTGTTTGCATTTTGTTTTACTTTCCTTCAGGGCTAAATTTCACTCAGCAGTTCACCCCCTTCTCTTCACCTCCTCTACACATAGAAGGCATGTTTTCCCAGAGGCTCTGGCAGTGAGCAGCTGTTGGCACTGTGAGCACAACATGTCAGTGTTTCTATTTACACAAAACCAGAGAAGATGAGCGTCACCTCCTTCGCCTGAAAACGTCCCGTCTGTCTGTCTGACTGTAATTTAGCCTCCCTCCCCCTCCCTCCTTGTCTCCTGCCATGTTATCTGGAATGCAATAAGAGAGATGTGAATGTGTTTTTATGTAGACATCTTTTGGCATTACAGCAGAAATGCACAACAATAAGCTTAAATGTGGTGAGTGAGCTGCACAATCTGTACAAAGAGGTATTAACTTGGTCTGTGGCTTAAAGTTTGCTTTCGTCTCACACTTATAGCTGTCGTAACTTATGTCTTTTAGAAAGACAACATGATTTTGCTTGTACGCTTTTTATGTATTTTTTACGAGTGATTGTAAATAGTTGTTATATTTTTGTTTAAGAGAATGTTTAAAAAGGAAAAAAATACCTTTTATTTCTCTGAGTCTACTGATATGAATTTGGACAATGAATAAAAATGTTAAGGAGAAAGAATGAAAGTGTCTTTATTGTTTGGTTAGCAGCTTGCTCCCAAATTGTGATGTTTGTTTATGATTGCTGAGGTGTTTATTGCAGAATGCTGAACACCTTTACCTTCAGGCTGCTAAAAACACTTCAGGCTAGAACCATGCATTCTAAAAACTCATTTGATATATCAGAAATTTATGGTACGAAAAAAAGCTTTCAGTAAAGGTGCTGCTGCCTGGATGTTTTTAATAACATCCAATTTGGTAATGATTATAGCGAATGAATCTGTAAAACATACACAAAGTATGCTCTTGCTCCTCTACACTAAATACTGTTATATGCATTAATATTCATTGTGCTTTATTATCAAGCAACTTAAAGTACCCAGATGAATGTATGTCATTTCTGCCGCTAGATGTCAGAGCAAAAGACATAGTTGGATCATGTTGTGAAGTTATGTGGGATCATGGTAGTTGTCTTCACCACCACTGCAGATGAAAATCTATCTAATGTGACCATTAATTACGTAAAGATTGTGTAAAGATGGCTGAACCTTTTGTGACTTTAAGTTTCCCGAAAGGCAGTTTTGAAATTAAGTGTGGAGGCTTCAGCTCTGACTGCTTCACTACCAGCTAAACATTAGTAAGGATGTGGAGTGTTAATCAATTATGCATAACTTTAAGCCCCGATACAACTTAAAGTTGTGAATACCAATAGAGACCAAAACTGTTTTTGTACCAGGCTATAAACATGTTTATCGCTGCTCGAAAGTTGGGCATTTTAACATCTGGGTCTATGGGGACTGATTTGATTTTGGAGGGAGCCTCAAGTGGCCATTCGAGAAACTGCAGTTTCTGGTACTTTCACATTGGCTTCATTTCTCGGCCCGAAAGTTGCTGCTTGACCATAACTCAACCGTCATTTTTTAAAAAGTTGTATCAACATTATATTTACTCACATATATTTAAGACATTTCATTCTGACGAAATAGCCTAAAGTACCATTAGCTAATCTGAATAACTGGCCATTAGACAAGTCAGCAAGACTTACAGCTGCTTTAGCATTCTGACATTCACTAATTAGGAATATCATGAGTGTTGCAGGTATTTGGTCATAAATCAAATTCATTAGAGGAAAGGTTTGGAGAAGACCAGTGTCATTACATTCAACTTGTGACTTTGAATATCTATGGATCAATCCACTCAATAATTTTAAAAATATGGCCCTTGACACCAAAATCGACCACATGGTGTTATTGGAAGAAAATTAAGTTTAATTCAACTTCTGAGGAACATGAGTGTCTGTACCACATTTTATGACCAACCATCCAGTACAGTAGTTGCTGCTTTACACTGGTTGTTTTTTGTCCTCTTTGTTACCATTTTATTGGGACAAATGCAGCTGCAGTTGTATTTTATGTGTAGGTTTCAGTTTCTTACACGTTCGGCCAATACATCTTCACATCGAAGAGAAGGAACCTCCCTGTGTTGTTCATATGTCCTCGCTGTCTCTCCACCTTCTGCTGTGTTCAGCATTACATCTGATGTGATCAGAGCCGGAGAGCATCGCACTGCGCTCAAGGTCAGCTTCCTTTTATTACTCATTAAAGGTGTACTGTCACACAGAGGGCCGTGATGGCTGACCTCCCTGTGTGTGTGTGCCTGTGTGTGTATATACATCCCTGGCTGCGATGTACCGTAATATGTGACACATTTCAGCACATTTTCAGAGTGCAGGCTGAAAAACAAGCGCTCAAATTGTCTGTGAACCCCAGGTGAACCTTTTTTCAAGAGGACAGGTTTGTCAGTGCACCTCACCAGCACTGGAGGCTGTAAAAACTAAGAATGGTGAAATGCATAACTTGTGTTTGTTGTCACGCTCGACTACAGCTCAACAGATTCCCGGTTCACGCCCCGGTTAGGACAGCTGGGAACTTTGTGTGGAGTTTGCAGGTTGTTGAGGTTAATTAGTGATTCTAAATTGTCCGTAGGTGTGAATGTGAGTGTGCTTGGTTGTCTGTCTCTAAGTGTAGTCCTGTGATAGACTGGTGACCTGTCCAGGGTGTCCCCTGCCTTTGCTCTGAGTCAGCTGGGATAGGCTCCAGCCCCCCACGACCCTAGTGAGGATTAAGCGGTGTGTAGATAATGGATGGATGGATGGATGTATTTATATAAATACAGTTAAGAGTTATGTTAAGTATGGGAAATGATGGGGTCATGTTCATTAACTTTCTAATGATGTCTTTTACAACTTAGTTAGCAACTCACTGTGCCTGACTGCTTGACTCTGCACCACTGCCTGCACAGATCTGATGCACACTCTGCTACATGCGCTGCAGACATAGCGGAGAGTATGGAGAGTAGAGTAGGAGCATGTGCTGCCAGACAAACTGTGTAATAACATAAAAGCCCATATTGATATATCATTGACAGGCCAATATTGGCTCACAATATCAGCCAACCGATATAGCTATCGGTCAGGCTCCACCTTCTTCTCACAAAAAACTATCCACTAAAGGTAGAAACAAGACGGATTTCCAAATCGAGAAAAATGTCTTTGTTTGTCTGGACAATCTACAAAAGGCCACATCAGCGAGTACTGTAGGAAACACAAAGTTGTTACAAATGCATAAAATAACACTGGCAGTATCCATTAATCCAACCATATATGCAAGCACACAGGACAATACAAGAACAGAAAATAATAATTTCATATGTATAGCAATTTTGATGACAGTTGCAGAGTACTTTGTAAAATAAAGAATGAATAAAAAACTAAGAATTAAAACACAAACACCCTCAGCAAGAGGATGGGCCCGGACAGGAATGATGCGTTCACCTTTAGCAACAAAGTCGGACAAAGTCTAACTAATTCAAGAGACGCTGGATAAACTTTTTGCTCTATCTGACTTCGACTCTATCTGAACTGCTTCTGAAAGACACTTTGTTCTTCTTCTGCGATAAAGTTGGAATGAGGTCTAATGGAGATGGGTCAGGGTGGAGGGGGGGGGAGGCATGTTAACCAGCATGTTCAAAGAGCTGGCCTCTCCACTTCAGACAGAATATTCCACAACGATGAGAGAAGTGAAAGTTCAGCTCCAAGTGGGATTCGGCTGGAAACGAGTCGGTGAAATTACACACAGCTTCAATTATACATCACAAAGGGCAAAAGAGCCCCACTGGATGGCAGGGGAGGAAATGTGGAAAAACGGGGTTGCTCGGGTGTTGTAATATGTGCGGCCTGCATGCACGTGTGTGTGTGTGTGTGTGTGTGTGTGTGTGTCACACCTCTCCTCTGTTTTGACTTTGAAGTTGTGACTTTGTCAGGAGCAGAAGCCGAGAGCAGGAGGTGGGAAAACGGAAACTGTACCACCTGAGGGTTGTATGCACACACAGGGGGTGGCTTTTAGCATATTCCTGTCTAAATGAAAATTTGTGAAGCAAAACAGTTTGGAAAAATATTCTGTCACCGGTATAGTCTCAGCGCTGCCCTTGAGCGCATGTATATGTGAGTGTGCTCCCACATACATAAATGAAAAATAAGTTGGTTTTCCTCGTGTGTCATTAACCTTTCATGTCTTGTTTTCGGCATGATTGTGTAAATAAGTTGTACTCGTGTTTCCAACTTTTTTTTTTTTTATGTCTGTCTTGAGGTAATCTTAAACACTGTTTCGTGGGCACTCATAAAGTTGAGAGCTTACAAGAGATGAATATAAAAGATTGATGGCCAGAATCAAACAGCATAGTGTTATCACTGCTTCTTATTTGTCTGTACTGACCTCTGTCAGAAAACAAAACTAAAAACAGTGTGTTGAATACATTTCCTTCATCATAAAAAAATTGCTGTGCTGATTTCAATATTTGCAATCTTGCATTGTTTACATCCATAGCTGTCTGCTCTTTTATTGTTTCCGTTGATGCATCTCTACTCGTGTGCTACCGCCATAAAAAGTTGCTAAGTGGAATACCACTAAATCAAGAAAATGAGAATCCTGTTCTGTTGCTAACAATCCTTTACACTTTCCATATTACAACTTTTACATGACCCTACACAAGCCCAGTAAAACTAAAATCACTTATTTACATTTTTATGGTAGCGTGTCAGCATAGAGATACAGCTAGCAAGTAATTAGCTAAGTTTAGCATAGCATAAAGACTGGCAGCAGAAGGGAAATGCTAGCTAACACTTCCTCTAGCCAACCCCTTTCAACTCCCTAATTAACAACTTCTATCCCATTTTCTTAATCTGCAGACAAAGAAATCTAAAAATAAAAATTAATGCCATGACATTTTTTCTGCTTATGTACAGATTGAACAAACAGCATTAATAAGTTACCTTTAAAGTTACTGTATTTTCAGACACATTCCAGCTAACTGCTTGCTATTGCTAATTTCTTTAACTTATTAATAAGTACATGTTTGTTGCATAGTGTAGACAGTATAGATTAACAGTAATAGATAACACCAACAACGTTTAAATTGGTTTTTCACTTCTACTGTGCAGTTCTGTGTCCCATCAGGTCCAAAATCTCCATGAAAATTAGGCCTTGATTTATAGCTAAAAGAACAAATGGAGTAACTGTGGAAAAGAAAAAGAGCCTTGTTGTTGGTGAAGTCAAAGAAGTCGAAGAGAAACCGAGATAAAACAAATGGAAAGTTGTCTATTGCCACTTTAACGACTTCAACACTCAGGCACAAAAGTGGTCTCAATCTTATCTTCTGTCATTGTTTTGAAAGCAAATATGAATAATTCTAAAAATGTTGATAATACTTCGATTTTTTGTCGCCTCTTTAATTCAAGCTGAGATCCACTCAATCAGCACCATCACGAACACCTGCGCACCTGCTGGTAATGATCCAATCAGCCAATCATGTGGCAACAGGCTAGTGCTTCACTTAATGTTCACATCTATTCTTTGAATGAAGGACAAATATGATACTAGGGAATCCGACCATGTCAATATTGTTGAAGTCTCTGGGGACTTTCATCCACAACAGTCTCTAGAGACTAACCAGAACAGAAAACGG